AGTATGAGATGGACCGCCAAGAAGCGCAAATCTAGAGAACAGTGGAAGACTTACGTCCAGCGTCATCTTGCTCAACTGCTTCACCCGCCATGATACCGGCAATCCCGCCGAATACGGGTGCAGTCTTCAAAGGAGGCGCAGAGTAGTTCTTGTCGCCATCGAGCTGCATCATCAAAATGCCGATCTTCAATGTGCTGTTGATTTTGCTTTCCTGCATAAGATACCGCCTCACGATGCCATCTTCGACATCTGGATCGTCCAGCGCCGGCGCCCTCGTCGACATTGGGCTCTGGCTGGTGCCGCTGCTTCGCTTGCGCGAGTGACCGCGGTCGAAACTAGCGCTCTCGCGAGTAAGGCCATCGCTTTCCTCCACGTACTCGCTGAGGTTGAGCTTGACGATACCGAGTGAGATCTTTTCCTCCCTGCCGCTGCCTGGGAACTGTTGCAGGACCTCAAATTCGACGGGACACTCGGTCAGGTTGTTGTTCTTGTCGATACTGATCCGGATATGGCTGACGACCTTGGAGTAGTTATACTCAACCTTGTGATTGGAGATCGGGCATTGCGGTGTGCGGCCGCGGTGCTCGGCGTGGATAGAGTGTGCGAGGTTCCATTTTACTATCGACGTCCCTGATACCAACGGGACATTGTTCAAGTCAAATATCTGGAAGATTTGTCAATAAGATGTTCTTCGCCAAGATGCAGCAACTGCCGTGTCAAGAGGGGCTCACACCTTTAGATGTAGCTCAAACTTTGGCTGCGTCAAGTAACGTTAGCTCAAACCGGTTCACTGAGTGGTCACCAACAACGGCGCACATCCTCCGCTTTTGGGAATTGACTTTCCCACGGCAGGATGGTGGGCGCGGAGAGGAGGCATTACCTTTCTGTTCTTATTGACTGTGGGCAGGAAGCCCCCGTTAGCCATGCTTTTGAGGGGACTCATTTTGAGCGAGTGATTCGCTCACGCTCAGCGCAAATGATAATGACGGAGACAAGAGTAAAAGCAAAATGAGGCGGGACCGAAAAGCCCCGGGCCCCAACAAGAGGTGCTTTCAAGGGAGAGACATGGGAATGGTGAGGTTGTTGATTACGCAGCAAAAACGAATAGGATGGGTAGGGCTGGACGTGAAAAGACAATGCCACCAAGCTCTCTCTGGGGTTGTCTCAGTGAGATCTCAGCCTCATGTGAGGTACAGGTGAGCAGAGGGCTAGGCAAACCACGTGGTCACAAGGAATGCGTAGGTATGTTTAGGTGAAATAAGGAAGATACAATAAGGACAACAACGCCGGCAAAAAATCAGCTCGACATGGGACGGATGATGGAGGAGAACAAATCGGAGAAAGGAGCAAACAGAGGCTTACTTAAGGAAGCCATGTTTCATGGAAGGCATGGCTGGTTGGGTTCCGTCGGGGCCAACAAGTTAATGATACCTGCTACCTCTGATGAGGACCGCGCGCCTTCGGAGGTAGACACCGTAAGGTATGTAAGAGTGCGCGGGCGGACAGGCAGGCAGATGGTAGTGTGCAAGGGCAGGCAAGGCACACACATACACAGTCGTAGTCGCAGTCGCAATCGCAGACGCAGGCGCGCAGGAAAGTCCAACAAACACGAAGAGACTTGTCCCTTCTTGTCAGCGACGCTCGGTTTCGTTTCGGGACAGCCGGATAATACGGTGCTGGAGGAGCTGTGAGAGGGGCAGATCACCAGTAGGTACGGCTAATAGATAACGGGATGCTGGTGCCGTGCCGCTGAGTCCAAACGTCTTCCTGAATTATCCGCTGAAGGAAAGGCTTGAGATTGCATGCGAGGTCAGCGACCAATCGTTGTTTATCTGACAGTGCGTCGTCCGTCCGCGGGCGTCGATAGAATGAAAGCTGAGAGCGCGCGAGAGAGATATGGGCTTGAATGTAATGCGGCAGAGCGCAGGGGGTGGTCAGGAATTCGGGGTTCCAGACTGTACGGAGCAGATTGATCCTCCACAGGTGGAATGACTCAGCAAACAGGGGTCTGCTGTCCGTAGATGTCAGAGATATCCAAGGCTTGGTACGATTTTTGAAGGCCCAGAGAGTTGAATTGCTGTGAAGCAAGTCGTATTTGTGTATCGATGCTCTCCCTCTTCTGATGATGAAAGAAAGAGAGTTTGACTTTGGACAGGGTCGAAGGAATACGTAACTCCGTCAAGTGCCACCTGCCCCAGCATCCTGGGCGTACGGATACCGGAACCACTATAGCGGCATGTGCCTGGCCCGAGTTCTTCAATGAGCCACATTTGGATCCTCGGGTCCAGCAATAAGTAGCCTGCGCCACAATCAACTTCGTCGTCTTTTATAACACCCTGCGGCCCATACATCGGGACAAGTTGCATTGGATGCCTCTCTGAACCAGTGTCTTGGACCCATATCACCAGTGCCTTCTTACCCAGTTGCGTTGTTGTCGCAGTGTCATAGTCATGTTACGGCACCTCAGACCTCTCTCTCAATGGCATTGCCATCAGTACCCAAGCACAAGGAATGCAGTCACACTGGAGCACCGTCTGCAACCTTCCGTTGGGAACTGTAAGCCTTCCATGTCCGTCCAAGATCAACATCAACTGGAGGCCACGATAATTCTGCATTCTCTTAACCATATCATTGTTTTTGTTGGTGATGTAGTCTACCACAAGAACTCCAAAGTATGCGTACGGCGTCCTAAATCTTCTCGATACACACAATCGACACCTAGGCGCCGTACTGTCAACTTTCGATATCGCGATACCCTTAATAACAAGACCTTGATTGCTTGAGGATCTAGATCGATGAAGTACATTCAGCCTCTTAGGTAATACCCGTTGACTCCTCGTTCGGCTTTTAATCTCGCGACATGAGTTAGAGGCATGAGCCACATATCAAGCTTCTCCTGGTCCACTTTCTAGCCTTGTCGGTATCACTAGCATCCGCTCGCAACGAGTGGCCATTTTGCGAAAAGTAGTCAACTCATTAGCCGTTTTTGCCAGAGACGAACCGGTGGGATCTATATAGTGGACTTTAATTCTGGCTTTACGGAGTATAAGCGACAAACGATGAGCGGGAAATGGATTCCAAGCAAAATCACACGATACGGGCTCGAAATAAACGTTGCTCATACCGTTCCTGAAGCTCGCGGTCACCTCAATATATTGTATTTCGATCCAGAAAAAAAAAATGACGCAATACGGGATTTTAAGGAAATTGCCTGCGTAATGGAGTTTATCAAAGTGAAGTCAAGAAAATTCAAAAAGGTCGGCAAGGATTGACGGTCCTAATAAATGTGTCAGGAACTTCGCCAGGACACAACTCCAAAGCCCAGTCTAGTCGGGAAACATCACGATCAAACCACCCAAACATGCCGAAGCCTTCAAGAAACCTAAATTTTTGTAAACCAAAGCTTCAGTAATTCTCGAGACCCAGCAGGCAGTCGACTCCCAACCCGAAGACGAGCGTAAAAGAAGCATTTGAAAGGACAAGGGTCAGGCGGACATGTCTAAACTCTGATTATCCAGGCACACATCACAGCGAGCCAGTGACGATGCCGTCCAGTCACGCTTCTCCCAAAAGGTCTCCAAACATCGCCAGGGTGCAGGCCTGCACTTTCAAGGTCTCCCCAAGCGGGTGTGTGTCCTTAGATGCTGCCGGAACAGGCCGACATCTGCGTCAAGATGAACACTCCATCTCGAAGGAAGGACAGAGAACTGCAAGGACCTCAGAGACAATCATGAGATTTCGGGACAGCCCCAGCCATCACGCACAACGCCCAGGCCTCGAAGACCAGTCCAGACCCTTCGTGAAACCTCCCGAGAAAGGCGCCTCATTAAAAAGTTTGAACCTCCGGCCAGGGAATTCAGACTGGGGTACGGGATGAGCAGGTCACGCCGCACCGGGGCGCGCTACCCGTTCACCCGTTGTCGCCCCCAACAGCGCGTTCTCTCTGTGTGAGACAGGAAGAGAGAGCCTGAGAGGGAGGGAGTCTGAATGAGAGAAGTGTGACGCAGTGCAGGCGTGCAGTTCTCCACACAAACTCAATCAACATCCCAGTCTCTCGAGTTCCCGCCCCCAGCAGAAAGAGGAATTCCCCGAGCCGCATACGTCATGGCCCTCTCATCCCTATCCCCATACTTCGTACAGCACGCACACCGAACGCCCAGACGAACGATGTCATCTCTTCACAGGAACCTGTTTGGAGGGGGAAGGGAGAGGGCAGGGAAATGAGACAAGCCGCAATGACCGCCACAAATGGCTACCTACGCTACGGCCCAGCAGCCACCACGTTTTCTCCTTGGCCCAGAACGCTTGTGGCTGGGGCGCTACTTTTCTCTGGTGTCTGGTTACGAACTGCACCATGACATGTCTTCTCCAATTATTCGATGGAGCAACGCAGCTTAATGGGACTTGATGAACGCCGACGTGCAATCAAACTCATCAACGATTCAACGCAGACTCGTGTAGCGAAAATCTTCCTGCGGGCTAACGTAAGGTTACTGATAGTGTGGAGGGGAGCCACCCAAAACGGGCACCATTCACACCCTAACAGTCCAACGTTGTGTCCAAACGACTCGAACTGGTCGCTCCTTCTGGACGGCGCATTCGCTCCGGTCCTGTGAGATGTCGTCGTGTGATGGGGGATCAGAAACCTTGACGCGGTCGGGGTGTGTGTGATAGCAGCTTACTTGTGGGTAGCCAGTCAATCAGTGCAGGTCACACACCTCGTCTCGAATTTCTTCTCATTTGAGATAGGAAAATACCTCACTAGACCGATTGGTTTAGAGACAACACTGACCGAATTCGCCTATTGAAGGAATCCGAGGGAGTACATTTGAGAAAAAGACTGGGGTAGGAAGTACATACCTTACCTCACCATAGACGGGAAAGAAAAAAAGGTGATGTATCGCGGGAGATTACCACATTGACGTCACCATGCGGTGTCCCGGCTAGCAGAGCACTTGCACGCCTCGCACTCTCTCTCCCTCACCCACAGACTCCCAGACTCCAGCCCAGACCACACCTCCCCCAATTCTCCTAGCGTCAAAACGACCCGGAAATTAGGGTAATGTGTGATACGATACCATGCCTTACCGCTGACCCTTGAGGTACCTACCTTACTGGCAAGGTGTAGAGACAATCGACGATGGCGGGGACGGGGAACATGTAGGATGTACCTTACTTTCGTAATGGTGTCACCGCTCTGCTGTGATGTAAGGTGTGTCGGTTTGGCAAGTCACAAGGGTGTGCCTTGACGTTGCGCATTCCCAAACTGCTTTGGCGTTCAGTTTGTATATAAGACCCTTTCATCCATTTCCTCTACAGCGCTTTTTCGTACCATCCCATCACAGCCAAACACCAACAAGCAAACCAAACACCCGTCGAGGTTCTCTCTACAACTCTACAAATTACCACTTCCCAACCCACCAAAACCACAACACCGCAAAAATGGGTGCCGTCGTCTCTTGTGTAAGCCATCTACTCCTACGTCCATAGCCAACCCACAATGGAAGGAATCCAAACTAATTGCTTATATACAATAGGTCCAATCCGTCTTCCGGACCATCGGCAACTGCCTCACCTCCGTTATCTCAGGTATCGGAGGCATCCTCCACGCCATCATCGGCGGCATCGTCTCCTTCTGCAACATCATCATCAGCTTCCTCACCTGCGGTTACTGCGGACGTCGCGGCAGCGGTGGCGGACGTCGCCACAAGACTACGACTAGAAGTCGCGTCTAAGCCGACCCTTCTGTCTCTAAAAATCATGAAAGATGGAAGGGGTTGAACCACGACGATTCGAATTATTTCGCGATTGTGCAAACGAATGACTGGAAGAGAGCATGGAGAAGATGAGCGCGGATGATTAATGAAGAGCGCGGACGCGATATCAGCTTTGACAGCATACCCACCCACGAGTTTCTTCTTTTTCCTTACGATACCCAGATACCAGTAGCTTAGCTTGAATGGTATAACACGATATCCACAAACAGATATGTGCCACTGTGACAGTGAACAAACCCTTGACTTCTGTCGTGATCGACTGACGGACGATCTTAAGGGTGGCCGTCTACGCCGAAAAATCCAACGTGCTGTCAAGTGACAACGGCATACCAATGTGTCGAAATGATCATACAACTAAGTCTAGAATTCGCTTCCACTGAACACAGCGCTGTATCTGATCTTTACAAGTCTAATCTTCCAGAACATTACGGTTAAAGAACCCATGCACCTGCCGCCCGGATTCCTTCCCAATCATCGGCTCAAGCTCCCTTTCCGTCAAGTTGGCCACCTCCCGCAGGTTCTCCGTCGCCAGCACGAGCCGCATGATGTTCTTGGGGTTGATCCCCGGCACGGCGCCCAGCATCTCCTGCGGCTCCAGGTTGAAAGCCTGGTCCTCGGCCTGCATATCCTTGTCGAGCCCGGCCCGCACCGCGGCGATGGGATCCGGCTCGTCCTCCTGCGCCTTGAGCGACTCGAAAATCTCGGCCGTCTGGTACGGCGAGGACGACCAGATTATGCGCAGCTTGGGGAACGCCAGCGTCAGCAGGACGAGCTTGGACTGCAGGTCCGACGAGGTGTTCGTCGGCGCGATGCTGTTGAGGCTGCCCGAGAGGTCGGCAAAGGGCTCCAGCGTGAAGGACTTGTTCTGGTCAAACTCGATGAGGAGCATGGCGCTCTTGTAGTGCTGGAACATTGTCTCGCACTGCGCGTAGAGGCGGCCGTCCTTGAAGGACGAGATGAGATCCGAGATGGATTTTCGCTCGACGCAGATGTTGGGCGAGAGGACGTAGTCGCCCACCGTGAGCATGCAGGGGACGATGATCATGGACCGCCCGTGCAGGAGCGACGGCAGCGAGGAGCGGAACTCGCGCACGTCGACGACGACACGGGGCGGCTGCGCCGTGGCGGCGAGACGTCCGCCGCCGGCGATCCTGGTGTTGATTGTGCGGAGGAAGGCCTCCTGCGGGTCTTCGGCGCCGTGGGGGTCGACCGTCATCACCAGGGACATGGACGCCCGCTCCTTGATGAGCTTCGTAAAGGCGTCCTTTTCGCGCCGCACGCTCGACAGGTATCGCTGCTCCTCGACAGACTCGCCGTAGTACATGAAGTATACCCGCACGTTTCTGTCGTTGTGGGACGACCGGTAGACCTCGACGCGGCGGATGAAGGCGGCGTCGGGCTCGTACATGATGATATACCGAGGCTTCACTTCTTCTAGTACGTGCTCGTCCTGGTCCCCATCGTACGCGTGGATGACGACCAGATCCTGCATCTCGTACAGTTGGAAAAAGTCCTCCATGTTTTCCAAGGGGTCGGTGACAATCTCCGGCTTTTGGTCCGCTTCCTCCTCTGTGATTTGCACCTCAGCCATGAGGTCTTCGACATCCGTGGGCTTTTCAAAGAATTGGAGGATGCTGCCGTTGTCGGCTCGCCCCTGGGCTGTTCCCGCCATGCCGCCGCCTCGCATGCGTCTGCGCTTGTTCGATGGTGCCTTGCCCCGAAGCCGCTGGCCGTTCCGATCAGTGGCGCCATTCAGAGCCTTTTGGTTTTCGGAAAATAATGTAGCGTTGACTTGGGCGAATTCCCGTTTCCATCGCAAATAGTTACGCAGTTTCCGCCTCATCATGAACGCTGCTGAGGCTGAGTCTTCGTCGTCGTCGTCTTTCTTCGGGTCCTTCTCGACCTTTGGCTTGAAATACATAGTTTGCAAATAGTCTCGGAGCTGTCTGCAGGTGTTTGTATCCCCACACATGATGAGAATGGTACCGTTGGAATCGTCGCGGGCCGGTGGGTCAAAGTGCATGCTGTTGTCAATCTCTGTCAAGACGTCCGCCAGCCAAGCCCATTTCGGCTGTTCTTCAAGAACAGGGCGAAGTGAATCAATGTTGGCGTCTGCTGTTGCAGCTTTCGCGCTGGCAGAGTAGACTCGGCGCCGCGCTGTCTCAAAGATTGTCTGCGCTGCGTCAAGGAACAACCAAGGAGACTGGTTCTGCCTCGTCGACCCCGGAGGCGGCGAATGTGCGGCATGGATGGTATCTAAATGCTGCAAGAATGAGACGGCGTCGAGAGAGAGAACAGACGAGAGCATGCCCCGAAGGACGCTCAAGTCATTGACGATCTGTCGAGTTTTCCAGCTAACTCTATGCCAGTTAGGGTCGAGCTGCCTTCTGATGATCACGTCAAAGTTCTTGTGTAAGGCGCTGTCGAGGTTCCAATCCTCCATCTCCAGGCCCGTGTTGCCTTTCTTCAGCTCATGGATGCTGACTTCAACACACTCCAAAATGGCGTTTTGAATGTCTCGCATGGGCTCGCTCATTGAGATATTCAACTCAATCACCTCTGCTGTCTTCTTGCCCTCCAAAGACTCTGCTACCGTAACGTGGAAGCGTGGCCATAATGACGCCTTTCTCAGAAAAAGGTTCCTCATCATGGTCGTCAATGGCGAGAAGCCGGTCGAGAATGGATCGGGATTATCGGCGAATGCTTTGAGAAAGCCGGCCTTGTTCTTTTGTCGATAGATGCGTAGAATGAAGGCCTCAAGCGACGTAGCCACGACGCGATCGGCGTGTAAAACAATGAGGCCGGTGACTTTCTCGGTGTCGAGCAAATTCGTCAGGAGGTCAACGACAAGGATGCGCGAGGTGATGCTGAATATACCACCACGGGTGTACATCTTTTCTCTTGCGCCGACACTGGTGAAGTCGGTGTTGACGACCGTGAGCCCCCTCGCGTTGGGCGACTGGCTGATTGCAGCATGCTCGGCCAGCGCTTCTCCAATCCAGTTGTTTTCGCGATCCTCGGCCCCAACGAGGATGATTAGGTTATTTCCTGCGGCATCATAAGAATGAAGCAGGTTTGTGACGAGCCTCATGAGCCCCAGCCCACAGGCGAGGACGACGAGCTCATCTTCATTCCGCAGCTCCTGGAACAGGCTCTGTTGGTATTCCTGGCAGGAGTGAGTTTGATGAAACACGCCGAAATTAAGATGATGAACTTACAAGGGGAAGAGAGAGCTTGACCGGCTGAGCGTTGGTTGACATGGTGCATCGTGGCTGGCCGTGGGCAGCACCAAGTGTGGTTGGAAGCTACCTCAAGACATTGGATCGATTATGACTGGATCCGGACTGAGGTCACCACTAAAGTTCCTGGCCACTGCCATACAGTTCCTCACACAGTACGTCAAGCCGCTCTGTACAGTAGTCAAATGTCGATTCTCACTGTACACTCTCGACATCCAACTTCATGCAAGACATTCAACTTTAAGAAAAAATATGGTTATTCGAACTTCGGTTACTGCTCTTTCCTTCGTACAAGGAGATCATATAGAAAATCCTTGTACTTCACTGGCTTCTCTCAGAAGTGGCCATCGTCAACCGAGTCTAAGAAACTACTGACGAAGACATGGTGCAAACGCTAACATGTAAGCTTGGAACGTACCAGCGAAGGTGTTAGTCCAGTCACTTACCAAAGGCACAGCCGGGACTACTCGAAGCAAGTGCCTCGAGAATGTTAGGTACGCGGAATTTCAACGCTGACCGATATTCTCAGTCTTCATACTCTATTGTGTTTTACTGGCATAACCCTCCTTCCCTGTTGGCTCCTAGAATCACCCCGTGATCACAGAAACAAGACATCTTGAGATCTTCAACAGCAATCCTGCTTAGCGCCAACACTGCATCGAATCGACAAGGCTCGGCAACGATCACTGGCAGATGCAACCGTGGGGTTATGGGGCATGGCGTGCTTGTCACTGGAAAGGCCGCCGTCTTCTGTCAAGATTTTGGTCCCATCCTCTTGCACGTTAGCGGCCCTCGTGATATGCACGTAATTCGCCAGTGACGCGCAGAGAGTCTGGCCAGCATCTGGCCAGCATCTTCCCATCCAGACACGCCAAGATCAATGGCTGCTGGAGGGGCCCGGCTACGCGCGGTACACGCAGAGAACCAATCGTACAACCAAAAAGACATACGTCTTCTGGTGTTTGCATAGGAGGCCTTCCAGGTAAGCGGGGATGTTGCTCGCGGGGTTGTGACTACCTCTACCCCTCTGCGGGCGGGACGACGTCATCGGCCGTCGCAACCTTCCACGTACCGCAGTGACCTGCCTCAACTCACATGTAAGCCACCAGTAAAGATAGTTTATAAACAGCCCATCGTCCTGCTCCAACTTATGTCTACTTTCTGTGCTCATCACACTATCGATCCAACTTACCCAAGACACTTGAACCAAACATATCAAACAATCAAACAACACTCAAAATGGCCGACAAGGTTAAGGAACTCGTGAACAACATCACCAAGGGTGACGTGAGTAGCATCTCCCCCTCATACACACCCACCGCAGCGAATCTGACGTCTTGTTTAGAACTCCGAGAAGGAGAAGGAGTTCAGCACTCAGCCCATCAAGGAGGGTGGTGTCGACCCCAAGTTTGCTGCTCACCAAGCACACCCCGGCCCTGCCGTCCCCAAGGACTTCAACGCCCAAGAGGAGGGAACTAAGGAGGAGCGCCGAGCCAAGGCGGAGGCTTTGAACAAATAAATTCACACGACGATCAGGCAGCATCAGATGTGATGCATGGCCTTGTATGACCAGTTACGAATTGTAGACTATGGGAAACGGCGATGGAAACGGATTAACAAGTACGGAGACTCGGGAATTGGTCGGTGGATAAAGTCACCTTAATACTACCAATAAATTCATGAATAAAATCCCACATAAGCTGACACCTGTGGTAGGGTCTGGGTTCCCTTGGCCATCAGAAATCACGCTGCTGTAAACAGTTTGAAACGCTGCGTGCAATACCTTTTTAAGAGATCCACATACAGTGTGGTCAGGACGGAACAGAGAGAGGAGGTTTTCCACTTTGGAAATCTGATAGAGATCAAAAGCATGCCTCTATCCCCATATTAGCCCATTCCCGTTGCCGGTGACTTCGGAAGTAGCGATGCGACCTTACAGCGTAGGTACGCTGCACGTTGCGCGTCCCACAATGACGACAGACTTCCTCTGTGTTCCACGTGGCGGTGCAAACATAGTGTGGCTGGTGCCTATGCTCAATACGCGGGAAGGACAGCCCGACAGCGAAGACCGGGGCCTGAGCAGATAGTCAGTCGCCCGAGCAGTGCCCGAAGGAGGGAAACATCCCAGCCAAAGTCCACTGAAACGAACGACTCAGCCACCAGCCCGCCGTGGCCCAGGGCCGGTTACGAGTCCCGACCAGCCAGCGCCCACTCGCCAACCTCCGCTGGGCTGCGTAAGGTAGGTACTGCGTAAGCCCAGTGTCTTTGGGCGGTCACTCTGTCCCAAAGTGAGTCCAACAATCGCCTGCCATTCAGTCAGGTCAGGTCCCAGGTTTGCCGATTATCCCATTCGCAAACTGCACGCACGCACACCACTTCATCTCACATACAACCACCCGGACCTCATCCTCACCCTCACCCGGCACAACCCTCTCCTCCCTTCAGCCTTTCCGCAAGCCCAATTACATGGTATTTCAGGGTTCCCCCGTTGAGTGATGCGAGTCCACATTTCATGAAACGCCCCCGGACCCGGAAGCTCTGGCATCTTTGACCACAAGCTTATCACTCTCCCACGCAGCTTGCTTTTTGTCGGACGCAGAGTGGCTGCCTCACATACCGCATTGCATAGCGAAGCATCGTCCCGATACTAGCTGTACCTTACCTGCTGTACTATACAGTGTACCTTTCCTTGCTGCCTCCAACACCGACAAGCGACGGCACTTGGTTGACTTCTCTCGGGGTCCTTGTCGTCCTTGCTACCTTACCTTACCTACTGAAAGCGATCAACTCACGGAGCGCCATCCCGAAAGAGGAGGTGTCTGTTTGCCCAGCACATTCACCAACTACTAAGCGCCACTTTCCACCACCTACACACGCGTACAGCCCAAACCACCACGACCAAAGGTGGCTGCTGCCTCTGCTGCCGCGGCTCCTGCAAGCACACGACCCATACAACCACTCCACCTCGTCCCAATTCCAATTCCACCTTGATTCAACTACATACGAACAACGACACCTCACCCAACCGATCCCACCGAACATCCTCCCCTCCCCTCTCCTCCGCCGACCCCTCCTCCTCTTTCCGCCGCCACCATGCCGTCGATTTTGAGCGACGATGACAAGGAGACGGTCAAGCGCTTCGTCCCCAAGCAAACCAACAAGATCCAAGCTGTAGCTGTTGCCAGGCTATACGTTGCCTACCCCAACCCCGCAAGATGGACAAACACGGGAATCCAGGGCGCCATCGTCCTGTCAAATGATCTCGTCGGCAATACGTACTGGCTCAAGATGGTGGATATTTCAGTGAGTGACTGCGCTCACGGCGCCTCGTGCAATTTTGGCTAACATATTCACAGTCTGGAAACCGCGGTGTCATCTGGGACCAGGAGATATTCGACACGTGGAGCTACAATCAAGATCGCACGTATTTCCACAGCTTTGAGATTGAAGAATGCCTTGCCGGCCTTTCCTTCACCGACGAGAAGGAAGCCAAGCAGTTCAAGAAGAAAATGGACGATAGAGAGAAGAACGCAAGCAGAGCTACAAGATCGACACCATTCGGAGGAGCCTCCCAGGCTGCCGCACATAAACATGGTCTACTTGGAGGTCTCTTTGGCGGCCGACATGCCGCAGCGCCTACCCCTCCCGACTCCCCGCGCTCGAACTTGCCACATGGCCGTATGCCTTCCCTGAATGGCGGCCACAAATCTTCAGAATTCGCTGTCCTTGATGCCTTCGACCCTCAATGGCGGGAGAATTTCGGCCAAGATCTCCGAGATAAGGGACTGACGGATGAGTTTATCAAGGAGAACCAAGAGTTCATTGTCGAGTTCTTGAAGGAGGAGCAAGAGAAGCTAATGGCTGGCGCTCGGAGTCATGCTCCTCCTCCCCCTCCTCCGCCAGCACCGCATACAAATAGCCTTGAACTTCGAAACGGAAGAGCGCCCCCTCCACCGCCTCCTCCAGGAGGAAGTCATTCAGACGGCCCACGCTTACCACCGCCTCCGCCCGCACCCAGACGCGGCGCGGCGCCTGCACCCCCGCCTGCTAGGAGATCTGGAAAAGCAGATACGCCTGCTGTCAACAGAGAACCGACACCCCCGAGCGAGCCTCCAGCGCCAGAAGCATCGAGGAGTCGATTCGCAGTACCGCCTCCCCTACCAGATGCCGGCAAACTCGCACATGCTTTGGGGGGTTCAGTCAACGCCATTCGTGGCGGGCCAGCAAACCCTGGGCCACCGCCTCCACCGCGACCACCCAAAACGCCAATGCAGGAGGAAGAAAGGCCTGCTGGACACAAGTTTGGTGTACCACCTGCATTTGCCGGGGCCAGGCAGGGCCCGCCACCTCCGAGTCGAGGACCTGTCCCGCCGCCGCCGCCCCCACGTTCGGACGGCCCGCCACTCCCTCCGAAAGCTCCGGCGTCAGAGGCACCGCCGTTGCCACCCCCATCTTCACGACCGGTGCCGCCACCCCCGGCGCTTGGCAGTCCGCCGCTGCCTCCTCCTCCACCACCGTTGCCATCATCAAGTGCTCCTCCGCCACCACCTCTGCCCACCTCACCGCCGCCTCTCCCAACATCGAATGCCCCCCCGCCGCCGCCCTTGCCGTCGTCCAATGCCCCTCCGGCACCTCCTCTGCCTCCGTTAAACAATGCGCCGCCTGCGCCTCCTCCGCCGCCTCCCGGAGCAGGAGCACCTCCCCCGCCGCCGCCACCTCCACCACCGGGAGGCTTGGGCGGACCTCCCCCACCACCCCCTATGCCCAACCGAGACTCTGGGTACTCCTCTGGCGTTCCTGTTCCTCAACCGGATTCTTCGCGCTCAGCCGTTTTGGGAGATATTCAGAAGGCTGGTGGTATCAGGGCTTTGAAGAAGGTAGACCGGAGTCAGATCCGCGACAGAAGCAGTGCCACAGTTGGTGGCGGCAGTGACAGTGGTCCCCATGGAAGCGGCTTGCCTCCGGCCGGCGTAGCACCTGGTGGTGGTGGTGATATGGCCAACGCTCTGGCCGCTGCCCTCCAGAAGAGAAAGGAGAAAGTTAGCAGAAGTGGTAAGTAAAGCTCAGCACGTTTTGATATTGTACTGTTACTAATGCGCCATTAGATGATGAGAGAAGCGACAACGACGACTGGTAAGCGACGCTCTAGTCGAGCTCGAGGGACGTGTATGAAGGACAGCCTTCGGGTCATCGGATTGGGATCGCAAGTTGTGGCCTAGGCTTCTCGGGCGGTTAGAAGCAGCATTACATCGTATTCGATTCTTGGCTATCCAAAGCGACAGCTGCACAAATAGGGATTAGGCGGGAGGGTACGGTCAAAAAGCATCACAGTTCTTTGGTTGGTCAACCTCAGGGTTCCCAAAGAGATGCTCAGCACATCCGCATCTGGAGAACGGCAGTTGGGTAGAAAGAGGACAATATTGCTTTTGCAGCAAGCCCGCTGACCGCATGTAAGAAATTGGACGAAAACAAGATTCAAATGCGTTGCCCGGGCTCCTCGTTCTGGTGACATGTCACGTAATAGATGAAATATTATTGGCGAGCATGATATGATGAACATTTAGCAAGCGGCGCAAGCCACTGAGCAAAATGGATTTAATTACTCAAGCGCAAGTAAAGAGGTAAGATCTATCGTTCTGATGATTCGACAGGCCATGACGTCTCTCCCACCATGGCCCGTCCAACGCACCACCCTTGACACCTTGACTGTCGCGGAACCCTACAGCCGAGAACATAATATTCAACGGCTGTGGGGTTTGAGAGAGAAGACAGCGTTCCCACCTCTCGCCATCTAGCTGTAGAGGAAAGACGGATAAGAAAGAAAAGCGGGAAGGTTTCGGGGTTCTAGACACTCTGGTATGTTGTTGGGAGTGTTGGAAGACGAGAGATGACATCGTTTAAATGTCATCAATGTCAACCTCCTTCTTGCCGGCACCACCAGCGCCCTCGTCCTCGCTCTCCTCCGAGTCGCGGTCGTCGTCAAACTCAAAGTTGCAGTCGCCGTCGCCGTCGGCGCCGTAGGTATCCGTCTCGTTGATCTTGGCGGACTCGGGAAGCTCGCCGTAGGCCTTGAGGGAGCGGGCCTCGTCGGCGGTGTACTTGAGGATGACGTCGCCCTTGTCGTCCTGGTACTCGCGCAGGGAGAGGAGGATGATGTCACCCTGGTTGATCCAGACCTTCTTGCGGAGCTTGCCGCGGATGTTGGCGAGGCGCTTGACGCCATCGAAGCACTGGGCTTCGAGGCGGCCGTTGCCGAGCATCTTTACGACTTGGGCGTATTCTGTGGGAGAGAGAGAGAAAAGTTAGTTGCGATACGCTTTGCGGTTTGATTTGGTTTTGTTTGATCCGGAGCAATACGAAGTGGCGGTGGGAACGCGTCTAATGTTTTTTTTTTTTTTCTCGGGTTGGGAATAGGTGGTGAACTAACCTTGGCCATCCTCCTTGAAGGTGAGCTCACGCTTCTCGTGGTCAGACTCGTTCTTTCCACGTCTGCGGTTCTTTCCTCCCTGTTTTGGTTGTTAGTCTTCATGATCGACCATCTTCTTTCCCATCGCCAGTGAGCATCATCAACAACATCATCATCATCGCCAATGTGCGTCGTGTGTGTCGAGCAATAGCAAGGAGGGGGCGGGGTTGTTGGCGGGGCGCGCGACTAAGCAGGGGGAGGGGTGGTTTTGTCGCCGAGAGGGAAATTGTCTTTTTTTTTCTTTTCCTCTCTTCCTCCTTTGGTACTTGGGACCTGGAAATGGGGGGCGTAATAACTTACTTTTCCCTTGTTCTTGGGCATCTTGACTACTCGTGAGAATTCCGGTTCTCAGCGGTATAGGTAGGATGTGAAGGGGGTGGGTTGGTTGGAAGGGGGAGAGAGAGCGAGATGTTCGAGAGGAAGTGCGAAAGTGGGCGGTGGGCTTTATTGTGTGCGTTTGGAAAGCGCCCCCGTAACAAAAAATGGTGGTGCTTTTTGGGCTTTGGGCTCTGAGGTGTGGCTGTGGCGGGTTGCTTTTTTGTGCAGGTGCGTGTGCAGGGCAGTGAAGTGAGCTAATGGAACAGGGGGTCCTGTCGCTGGGGGACTGGCGGCTAGTGGCTACTGCTCTCTGTTCGGGTGTCTGTGGTGTGTGAGCCCAGGTGGGTTCCTTTCAAGTGGGAAGGGGCGAATGATGTTGAAACGGACTGGCTCGGTTTTTTTTTTTCTCATTCTCTGCTGCAGTGCAGATGAGTCAAGTGGGGTGGCATCTTTATGTGAGTTGGTCACCGTCACCAAATGGAGAAAGGTGCGCTGTGGCTCACGTTCACTTGGGCGTCACTGTGTGTCATTCACCAATCTCCATCAGTCCATTGAATCTGCATGAGCCACAGCCGATGTACCATTTGTAGCACCAGTGATCCACCCTATGATGGTCTAAGCTTTCCTCGACTTACCTAAGCCATTTTGGGAGAGCTTCACCTGCATCACTTTCTTCGACAGTCGGAGCTTGTCTGCAGATTGCAGATCGCAAATTCGCGCCTCGTCGCCATTTGAAGTCTAGAGACCGGCCTCTATGACATCCACCTGACCTTTCGATTGTATCATTCAATACCATCGGCGGAGCTGACTGACGAGTTATGAGTACCCGAGGACCACCCCCGGCCACAATCATGCGATGATGCCGATACGATTTCACCATGTCACCAGCACGATGCGAAGACTGCCTCTTGGGAAACCCATGGTGACACAGGCCGCTTGGTTCTCTTCCTCCAAACGACGACTTGGCGTTTCCGCACTGAAGCAAAGATGGACAGAAGAAAGGCGTCGCCAAGAAAGAGAAAGCAGGGATTATTGGGCAGAAGAACGTAGCAGAGAGCGCCAGGAGAAGTTGGACAAGATTAAACGGAGGCTTCGTGGCGAAGACTTGAAGGCCTCCCAGGAAGACGCTTCAAAGCTCCCGTCAGTTCGACAGACCAAGCCACCCCCACACCCGGTTAACTTCAAGAAGCTACCAGTGGAACATCGCTTCAAAAGAATATTCCTCGACCTGGATATTGGGCTGGCCGCCTTGGACTACCGAATGGTCCACCTCCCCGGCGAATTGAAAAAATTGTTCGAGCAGTTGAAGATACAAATATCTCCGCGGCATGTCATGAGAAACTGGGACAGGGAGTACTTTGTCGAGACGATGAACGAGCATCCCTACACGGTCCTATACAGGCATAAGTACGAGCAGATGAAGGAGAACACGCCGCTCTGGGTTTGGCTTTACGGAGTCACCCAGAATGGGGGCCCACTCGTTGTTAATACCGCCAGAAGGACCATGAGGCGCGAGCTCCACGCCGCCCTGGAAGCCAGAGGCTACGATCCCGAGGGGCGACTGCTCAGGCCCAAGAGGAACCGCACAGGGAAAGGCACTTCCTTAGAGGGCAACTTAATGGGCACGATAGCCCTCACCGCCAGGCTCCCCGCCGACGTGGTAAAGAGGCTTTCCCAGGCCGATCTGCGGGCGGCGATGGACGTGGCCGTGGACCGGCTGATTGAACTCAAGGACGCCGAGCAGAACCCGGAGCGGTGGCAACACGAGTACGACAGGAAACTGGAGGAGAGAGCACGCGAAGAGATTGAGCGAGAGGATGAAGCAAAGCGCCGGAAAGAGGAGGCGGAAGCAGAAAAGAAGCGGCGAGAGGATGAGTGGCTGGAGAAGGAGTTCCACAAGGAGGCGGTATGGCGGGAGAGAAGACTGAAACAGGAGGAAGAACGATCGCGGATCATTGAGGAGAAGAAACGCAGGCGGGAGGAGCGGAGGCTCAAGGCCGCCGAAGAGAAGCGCCGGAAAGAAGCAGAGAGGCCTCTGAATTCGGGCCAGCTCTGGGCGTGATGAGGAATATTGGAGATGACGGAGAGATGGATATGGGCCTATTGTTGAGAGACGGCGAGGGCAACTTTCATGATGACGGCCTCGGCTGGAGTCTGTGTAATATACATCTACAAATGATACCCCCAGATAGAAGCCATGACTTTTTACAGACAGGGAAAGGTTCCTTTACTGCCTTTGATGCTGATATCTCACGGGACATAGCGGCGGTGCATACATCACGTTTCTTAACTTGGGAGAAAGAATGTATGTCGGTGGGAATCTCAGAAACCATCACTACAGTTTAGCTATAAATATCAAAAGCGACAATAGTCTACAAAACGTCTCTTTAAAATATCTAGCGAACAATAAGACGAAATACTCAAATCATCAATCCTAAAGACTTACATTGGGAACGAGAACTGAGGTGAAGCACGGGGCAGGTACGTACCTGGCCACCTCAACTCCTTTCCTGCCTACCTACCATACCTACCTTACTTGCTTAGGTGCCCCGTGTAAAGGGCAGTTGCAGAGTTGTTGGCGACGAATCACATCGCTAGCGCAGAGCTGCCAGCCGAGACGTCTGGAGTTGCCAACCTGGTAATTAACTGTGACTGGCGTGTGTACCTCTCTCGATCCAGCATATGTGTCTCGCATACACAAGCATCGCTGGCAACAATCTCCTGCTCACCCACCTGGCCGCCTCCATATCGAACTCGTGGCGATAACCTGCCCTTGGAACCAAGACGAAAGACCTACGGAATCGGCGACCGACCCTGCGCAATTGATCCCACCTTCCCCCCTTTGGCCGGAGACGGGAAACACCAGCAACCTTGCAATTACGTACCACGCTTCGAAAACCGGGAGGAAGTCTCAACACCAGCAGACACAGTTCACGATGCTCGTCTCATTGACCGTCGGCAAGGTCGACGCCGGCGTCACGGTGCTTCTGACGCCGGATAAGCGTCTGGTACGTTATGCCCGATGCACTCTGCAATCTTGGCGATGAACTGGGGGCGGTTTCTGAGGGAATCCATATGGTCGAAAGGCCCGGCGCCCTATCCCCCGCCCTGGCTTCCATTTCCGCTCATCAAGGTCATCGTCGCCTAGTCATGAGACCCGATACTGACTTCAAGCTCCCAGATCGAGTTCCCGTCTATCCTTCTCCCTCCCAACATCTCCTCCGGCAGCATCGTCGACATCACCGTCGCCCGCAACCTAGGCTCAGAGGCCAAGACCGAACATGCCTTCCGCGAGCTCCAGGACCGCATCTACTCGTCCTTTGGCGCCAGCTCGCCCACGACACCCGTCTTGCGCTGCCGCAACGCGACCCAGACCTCTGTCGTCCTCGAATGGGACCCCATCGAGCTCGCCACCGCCGATATTCTCTCCCTCTCCCTCCACCGTAACGGCCAAAAGGCTGGCAACATCCCCCGGCCTCTGCAGATGCACAGCACAAAGATTAGCGGTCTTGCCGTCGATACAGACTACACCTTCCACCTCGTCCTGCGCACCACCGCCGGCACCCTCAGCTCCGAAAAGGTCACCGTGCGCACCCATAAGATGACGGATCTCAGCGGCATCACCATCACCACGGGCATCATGCCCCCTGCCACCAGGGAGGCGCTGTCCGCGGCGGTCGACCGTATTGGCGCCAAGATTGTCGACAGCGTCCGTATCGACACGACGCACTTTGTCACAACCGAAGGCCGCGGCCTGGCATGGGAGAAGGCTGTTGAGACCAACATTCCCGTCGTGCGCCCCGAGTGGGTTGAGGCATGCGAGAAGAACGGACGCATCCTGGGTGTGACAAAGTTCTACCTCGACGCCCTCAGACCCGGACCCTCGAGCGACGAACTCCAGCAGACACCTCAGCCGCAGCAGACGCCACCGACGCAGAAGGAGCTGCCGACACCCCCGGCCGCCAGCACGCCCGAGGGCAACGGGGACGCGGCGGCGGCCCCGTCGTCGTCCGCCAAGTCGCCTGAAGCCGAGAACCCCCTCAGCAAGGCGGAGGAAGAGCCTGCTTCCGGCGACGAAGAGAAAGAGGCGGAGCAGAAGCGGATTGTGGACCAAGAGGAGCAAAAGGTGCGGCTGGAGGACAAGGACGAGCAGAACCTCGCGCACCGGCCAAAGGAGGAGTCGGACGACGACAGCGAGGACGGCAAGGGAGACGAGGACAATCCGACAAAGGGGGAGAAGCCGGGCGTCTCTCCTGACGGGGCATCTTTCCAGGATGTAGCCTTGTGAGGTGGAGCTTCCACGTCTGAGGTTGTGGTTACAGGGTGAGGCGATGGGAGGTGATTCGGAGATTGTTCTTTCACAGCACGGAGTTACCCAGAGATGTTGTCGTGTCTCGTGTGCAACTAGCCGCTTCTTCACGACTTTTATAGAATCAGTTATCATGGATTGATGACGATGCTAAATCTGCTTCTGTGTCTTTTCTTTGATATCTTGAATGATTCTCTCACTCCTGTTTGGGATATCTTTTCTACCCATTGACGCCAACCAGCCTCCATGCCTGTCTCTCTTGTTTCGCATAAAGACATCATTCATACACCACCCCTTCTTCACGGCATAATCTCCTTACCCGCCCAATCCCAAAATCTACCCCTCCCTTCGATCCCAACCTCCTCCGTCAGGACCTTACACATCCTCTCCACCGCGTACTCGGGCTCAAACAGCTTCCCCTCGGGCACCGTATCCCAAAACCCTTGCGAAAGCCCCGTCTTGACCGTCCCCGGGTGGTACGCCACGGCCATGGCCCTCTCGCCGCTGCGCGCGGACAGCCAGAGGTCGAGTGATTTCGCAAGCGAGGTGACGCCGGCCTTGGAGGCGCGATAACTGTACCACCCGCCCTTGCGGTTATCCGCCGTGGAGCCCACGCGCGCGGACATGGCGGCCCAGACGGCGTGGGATGGGGGCAGGCCTCTCGACTCATCGTCTTGTGGTGAAGACGAAGTTGATGTTGAGAATTTGACGGATTTCTTGGGGAGAAAGGGGGAGAAGTGCTTCATGAGCATCATCTGCCCCAGGGTATTCACCCGGAACGTCTCCAACGCGTCGTCGTAATCGATTTGGGCGGGGCTCTTTTCCGGGTGCAGGATCCCGGGCGTAGCGAGCGCGAGGCGGAGGTGGTGCGTGGAGGTTGGGAAGAGGGAGGCTGCTTCGGCGGCGGCGGCGGCGATTGTGGGTTCCGCGGTGACGTCGAGGTTGATTACTTTGAGGCGGGAGGCGAGGTCTTCTGTTTCTTTTGCGGCTGGGGAAGAATGGGATTTGGGTTCATTGTCAGACGCTAAGGAGGAGAGGATGGATTGCTTTACGGCGGTCGTGTCGGGGGAGCGGCATGTTGCGAGGATCGGGGCGGTGGTTGTGCGGAGGAGGTGACGGGTTAGGTGGGCGCCTATGCCGCGGGAGGCTGGGGCGACGAGGATCCATGGGCGGGACATTGTGGTTTGAGGGTACCGTTGTGTTTTGGGGATTGGTGTTTGGGAGAGGGTGCTCGTAAGTGGTGGGTGTGTTCTGTGTATAGCTTCAGTTGATCGAGGATGGTGGTTTGTATCTCATGTAAGACGCGATGGGAATGAATGGCTGTCACAAGTTTGTAGTGAACAGACAACACACGATGGGAACTACAAATGATGAAACCTGATTTAGCTCGTTAGCTTGTGTAGTGAACTAGCTGCATGTCATCCAAGACAGACCAAAAGGTCCAGCTTCAGCCTGGAATTGAGTTTCCCAGCTCCACAAAGAATCTAGGTCAAAGACATCATGACTTTTGTAGCTCTACTGCGTAAACTAACGGGCTAGGTAGCCCCCCTCCCCAAAAATAATTGAAGATCAACCCCTTCCGGAAACGAGCTACTGCAAGGGTCCCGCACCCCATTAGACGACGACGTCATTGGTTGGAGACTTTTTTGACGACGCCCAAGAGAGATCTGGGGGACTTCGGTCTCCATTTCATCGATCGACGTGGTACACGGTAGGTTAGATGCTGGGCGTTCTTCTTCGACGAGGCTTTTTTGTAAGGAATTTTTCATTCTTGACATACTATCACATTGCAAGGGGTCTACGAGGACTAGGTAATTTGAGAAAGCAAAATAGGTATCTTTTTTGAGTCTCATCGCGTCTTGCATCAGCAGCGCAGATGTATCCAATGCTCATGATATGGGCGTGAAAAAAGGAAAAGAAATAGGAAGAAAACACTGAACTGAAACTAGCTGTGAGCTCTGGGTATACTCACTTCTCATCATCCCTCATCCTAAGATCCTGACCCTGAGAATCCTCGTCCGCAAATTTCCATGAGATAACACCGAAGACCACACCACATGCCATCCAGACAAAGAAAAGAGGTCATCAAACACTTCTTACACCTTTCATTTCATGAAGGCTAAGAAATCCACGCCTTCCAATGTCCACATCCGCGCCAAAGAAAACGGGCGTCATCAATATGACGAGAGAGAAGAATGAGAAAAGTAGAAAATAGGAAAAAGTAGACCATGAGGTCCAATATCAACCTCCCTCTAATTCATACTATAGTAATACTCCGTATCCGGCAGCGGCGTCTCCATCCTGGAATCCGTCCGCGCCGCCTCCAGACTCACCCGCGAGGCAAACTGCAGCTCACGAATCAGCGGGTCCATGGCGTCCAACCCTCCACGCGAGATGAGCGGCTGCATCATCACCGCCTGGTGCCTACTTCCCCGGACCGCCCTGCCGCCGCCACCGATGCTGACGCTGGTGCGAGGGGTGATCTCGTGCGAGGTGGACGGGCGCCTCTGTCGGGGATGAATGAGGTGCACAAAGTCCCCGTCAAAGTCGTCAAAGTCCCCACCGGTGCGTCGAGCACCGTTCCCCCGGGTGTGGGAATCCTCGGACTGCCGCTGCCGCTGTGATGTCCGGGTGGTGGTGGTAGTGGCGGTGGTGCTCGTAGTGTTCCCGCGTATGCGGCCCGTCCTCCGCACGCGGACCTCGTGTCTCGCGTCGCGGCTGATGTGCTGCTCTTCGTAGACGTAGTCGTCTCCTCCGTCGTCACCGAGACCAACGCCGCCGCTGCAGAGGGGCCAGTCGGGGAGTGTTCCTCCCCCGCGCGGTCCGGCGGGGCCGAAATGGGGCGACCCGGGGAGGCTGCGCAGGTCGCTCATGCAGCGCTCGAGGCGCTCGATGAAGAGCATCTGGTTCCGCTCCTGCTGGTGCATGCGCAGCTCGAGGCGCTCCTGGTTGCGGAGCATCTCGTGCGCGAGATTGTTTACCTGGACGCTGCGGAGGTTGGCGTAGTGGTTGCGGAGTTCGCGGGCTGACATGGTGAGCAGGTTGAGGGGGTCTCGGTCTGCTACAGCTCCTGCTTCTGCTACTGAATCACCTCCCTCTTGAGAGCGGAGGCTTTTCGGGCGTAGGGTTGCTGTTTCGTCTGCGTCGCCTTCGTTTTCGTTGGTTGACGTTGTCGTCGTTTCCTGACTTTTGCTGTCAGACGAGTCGATATGTCCCTCGGCCCTGGCGGTGTTGAAGAGCACGGGGTTAGTGTTGCCCGCAGTATGTGGGCGAGCAACGTGCGTCGGAGCTTGTCCCGACGGCTGGCTGGTCGCAAAGGGAGGGTGCGAGACCTCGATGACCGTCACCGGCGAGTTGAGGGTTGACGCAGACCACCTCTCGTCCACCGGAAGCGAGGGGACGACCTCGGCGACGGGCATGATGGCGCTCAGTCGAGGACCGCAGCCGGGTTTGGGGAAGGCAGCGATGCTGCCCGCGATGGACTGACTGTCGTCCGCGACATCAATCTTGACCTTATCGTCGGACAGCGCAAAGCTGAAGCGGTTCGAGCACAGCCGGTCCGCGTCCGCTTGTGAAAGAGTGCCCGAGTCGGCGCGCGTCATGCGAGCTGGTCGCGGTTCTGCGTGACCATCGTCCATTTCTACCGCTTGGGCGACGATACTCGCGTCGGACGGCGCGAAGCTTCCAATGCGGTCCAAGAGTGGTACCGAGCTCGCCCAGCTGGCGCGGTGAAGACTGCCCCACCGACGAGGCGGCTCGGAGCTGAGCGTGCTGTCTCTCACGTCCCCGTTCCCAAACGTGTTAGCGGCTGTGTCCATCGTGTCAGTCGAGGTCCGATGGTCGGCGGCCGTGATGTCTCCCAAAAACGGCGTCTTGTCCCAGTCGATTGTGGGCGTCTCCAGTGCGGATTCCCAGCCGGGCGTGAGCTCCTCTTGCGCCGTCTCCCATCCTGGGGTTTCCGTCTCGGTATCCTGCGTGGCCTGCCAGTCTGATATCTTGGTTGAAGTACCATTCTTGTTGTGTTTTGTCGCTTTCTTGTGAGACTTGGCCATGTGTGCCAAGTTTGTGGCGGATAACTTTGTTTGCGGTAGGTGGTCCTTGGACCCGAACGTGCCATCTCGAGAAGGGAGGCGCAGGGAGCTAATGACCGTTTCGCAAGTCCTGGGCCTCGGCGTCACCTCGCCGTCCTCGTCTTGGGGTCCTTGTCTTGTGAGAGCTCGGAGCGCATCCATGTCTCTTTGCTTAAGAGACTTGACACGCTCCTTACGACTTTGCCGCGAGGCAGCCGTTCTTGTGGAGGGGTTTCGAGACGCCAGCGACTCTCCCACAAGGGTGGTCTGCGCTGTATCGCTGCTCCCCGGCCGGACAGAAAAGGACTGGCGAGATGGTAGTACCGGCATGTCGGACTGCTTGATAGATGCCATTGAGTATGCCTTTGCAGACCGGGCGCTCGAAATGACCGGCTCTGATAGCTCTGTGGTTGCGATGCTCGGACTGATGGAGTGTGCCTCGGAAAAGGCTCCGGGACTCAGTTGAGGGCCGTCTGACAGTACACTCTGGCGCTGAGAGCCACCGCCCAGGATGCCATCGATCGACCTCTGACTGTCTAGGACTGCATCTGGTTGTGGCCTCACAATCTTGATGCTCGACCTTCTCGGCGGCAGCACGATATTCTCAGGCCGCCTTGGCGTTGTTCTCGCTCTGGGTCTCTTCGTGTTGGGGATCTGAGCAATGGAGCCCTCGTCCCTGGAGAACCCACACTCTTTGTTGAGACTGCTGTAAGAGCTCTTGGCCGCGTGGACGGGCTCGGCCGGGAGTTCGGCGTACTGAGGCGGCGGAGGAGGCAGTCGGTCGCGCCTAGTCTTTGACATTGAGGAGCGCCCACGCAAGCTACCCGGAGGTGTCGTGTAAGGCGTCCTGGGCGGACTCATGGGGTTGGGGTTGATCTTGGGCCATATCGACACCGAGCCCTTACATCCCCTCTTGGTGCTCATCGTATCGAGCGTCGAGATGGATCCCTTCTCACTGACAGTCTTGAGAACAGTGACCGTACGCTCGCTAGCATAAGGTCTGATGCCGTTCCTGGTTTCCTCGTCGCTGATTCTGACCGGGGGAGTTGGGGGTAATGGTGGCGTGGCATTGAAGATGGCGAGGGCCCAGTCAGAGTCCGGTCCTACGTGGCAGTACTCCAGCGGGATGGAAATTGCGATATGCGAGTGGCCGCTGCTCGTCTTGGACGCGACGGCAGAGTTGGGAAGTCCTGCGGTTCGGGGTCGGCGGACGGGCGACTCTGACCTGGCCCGCGTGCGCGGCCGGCGCAGCTTCCTGAGCAGTCCCCATCTCTCCCGCTGCTGCTCCTGGGACTCGGTGACGACGGTGGTGGCGGCGTCGTCTTCGAAAAGGGACTGTTGCGAGGGGAATTCTGGCGGCGGCGAGGTAGTCCGGAGGAAGTCGATGAGGTCCGCCATGCCCCCTCCTCTGTCGCAGTTCTCCCTGGCGCTCGCGCGCACCGCGCCCCATTCCGAGTCGCAATCTGCCGTATCGATCCTGCCGAGGGCTTGTGTGAAGAGGTCGTTGGACGAGCGTGCCGTGCGAGGGTGGAATCCGCGTTCGCTGCCGCTGTCAAAGCTGTCGAACGTGCCGCGGCGACCCCGGGCGAGTGCGAGGTCGAGCCGTGGTGGGCCTGTATTCGATGAGACGACCATGACTTCGCCACGTCTGTTGACTGGGTTCTCTGAAAAGACCATCTTTTTATCCCTCGGTGGGAAAGCTTCAACTGTGTAATATGTTGCCTCGAGGCCGCATACCCGAAAGCTATTCCTCCAACAGACTGATAACAAAAAAGGGTTCCAGATGCGCAATATGTTTTTGAGAGCGAGTCGCACAATGACGGGGTGTGTCTTCGACTAAGTAACTCGCCTGCGGCGCAGCAAACAGATCTGGCTAAGACGGGCGGGCTGCTTGGCGACACACGTCGAATAGGTGGAGTGATGGTCATGCAAAAGATGAGGCGAGATCGAAGTAGGTACTGAGCTTTGCTGTTTGCGTCTATGAGTGGCGTTTACTCATCAACCTCTGAGAGAGGCAACGAATGAGGTTTGGTAAGAGAGCAAAAGGGTTTGGGAAAGGTTGGAAAGAGAGATGAACAGAAGTAAAACAATATCAGGCTAAGGGTTCATGGAGCAACACTTGGATCATCTCCCGCTCGCTCTTTCTCTCTCTCACTCTCTGGGAACGCCAGGACTGGGGGACGGTAGGGGATCGATATATGTCCTTATCTCTCCGGGCGACCGACCGTTGGGACGAAAGAATGCGGGAGGGGAGGCAGACGGTGGCAGACGGTGGAAGTGGGAAGCGTCAAACCATCGCGGGGAGGCGTCCGTGCAAAATGATGGGAACGAGAGCTAGCGGCCTCGAAGTCGGAACGCCATGGTCAGACTTATTCGAGTTACCTTACCTCGTCCACAAGTCTCTCGCGAAGATGGAGCCCCCTCCAGGGCCCGGGGGGGTTAAAAAGGGACCCAATTTGGCGCAAGGGAAGACGAGGCGAAAGAGACCAACAACCACAAACGCGGCGCGGCGGCAGGCGGAGGAGGTGGAGGAGGAAGTCACTGGTGGGTGGGGAGAATGGAGGAACCTGAGGGACCTCAGGGCAGATCAAGGGAGGAAGAAGGCGTCGTCACCAAGAGAAGTCTAGTACGCTTCGTCTAGGGGCCGCTCGGTGGACTCGTGGCGCTGAGACTCGGGGTCGGGCTGGCCTTTGCTTCGCAATTTATTTTTCTTTTCCCTCGTTTAAGGTAGCTTTCGGGGGCGCGAACGCCCACGAGGCTTCTTCCCCAGAGACAACACTTGTGAAAGTAAAATCTGGGACATACGGGGGCGCGAACGAGGCGTGACGGCTAAGAAAAAAGTAGGCAAGTCTTAGAGAGAGAGAGAGAGAACAGAGCCAGAAGAGCCAAAGAAAACGAACGGTACGGTAACGGATGCGTATGGAAGCCTCCAAAGCCCAGATGCGAAGAGAGAGAGGGAGAGAAGAGAAAAAAAAAAAAGGATACCTAGTTTGACAGCGCCACACTGGAGCTCCGTGATGTTTCTTCTTGCCGGCGCCTTGCAGCTCCAGGACGGTCCACCACTTGGAGACGTGTAGTGTACCCAGTGTGTGTCACTCTTTCGACTTGAGGAGAGTGCTCGGGCGGAGACGAGAGTCAATTCCAAGTCCCAAGTTTGGAAGCGAGACCGCAGCATTGGGTTTTGCTGAGATGTGACCAAGTACGCGGTATCGGCTGCGAAAGGTCCCAAAGGAGACACGCCGAACTTGGAAAACTTGACATGTTGACAGATGGAGAAGCCGCCGGGTGAGGGCATCCCGGCGCAGGCCAGTGGACTGGGAGCAAAGAACTGCAAGGGGAAGTTTGCTTTTTTCCCTCTTTCGTGTCTGCTCTCTGCCAGTCTGTCATCGGAAGAAATCCAGCAGGCAGGAAAACGGGTCCCGGTTGACAGCTAGACAAACCTGGTTCTGGTTACGTCCGGCAGCAAAGAGTGCGGACCAAGAACGGGCTTGAGCATGAAGATGGCAGACGGGCGGTGGACCGGGTGTTAGAAAAAGAAACGACGATCATCACGTTTGGCGTGCGTCGGACAACAAGGACCCAGCTCGTTCGTCCCTATTTGCTCGGTTACCAGGAGATCCTTGAAGGGCGAGGAGGAGGATAAACGGAACGGGAGAAAAGATTTTGGAGCCTGGAGGTCGAGGAGAAAGCTGACGGCGCCCAGGACGCTGGGTGGCCCTGGCCAGGGATATGCGGTAGGGGTGCAGCGCGCACGGTGGCAGCATATGCAGCATGCAGCGATGCGAAGCGATAGCGATGAGATTCGCTGCAGTTCTCAGTGGTGGGTGGTGATGTGCAGCCAGGGTGTTCATATCACGGTCAGACCTGTAAGAGGCCGCATGTGTTAAATAGGTACTTGTCAAGTTGTCACTCTTCTCTTGCCATGTTTGTCTTGGTGGAGTATTTGGTGGAAGAGTGCAAAGTAGAAGTTGGAATTCCTTGGTTGATGTTGGTTTCTCAAGTGTCTTGCTCTGGACCCCCGGTGTGACCAATACACTGGGCCGGCAGCCTCTTGTGTCAGATACTCTATGGGATGATCTTGCATTCTTTTGGCGTTGCTGTCAATTGTTCGGCCTGCCTTGTAATTGCCTACATTGTTTCCCTCTGTGGTTTGGTCTGTCTTGACATTGATCGGCCCGAGGTGATTTCGACGTAATTTTACGGGTATCTCCAAGATTGCCATGGGAAAACAGAGTTTCGGAAGAGGTAATGATGCGACCGTTTTCATATGACGGGGAACCTAGCTAGGATAGAGAATGGTCGAGAATGAGTGATGACTTAGAAACTAAGCAGGAACTAAGTCGATTCCGTGTCCGTCCGCAAGAGTGGCAGGACATTTGTGGCTTGTTTTGGCTTCTCTCCGTCATCTCCCAGGCCGTCTTCCGTTTACAATTATGAGTTTTTACTACGGAAATAAGATAAGGTACCTTGTAAGGCATGCAGAGAACGTCGGCCGTTTTCTCGGTTACTAATGTCTCACAACTGCGTTGTGTTTAATAACACACAATGAGCCTTCATTTCATTTGCAATCTTGGATTCTTTACACAATGTCAGTCGATATCATCGCCAAATGAGCGAGGTGGGAATACTAGGAGCATTACTAGCTTCGGCATGTTCCCGCAGGCCTAGACTGCTCATGTTCAGAGAAGCTACGTTGCCTAAGGTCGATGGATAGGAGAAGAGTCTCTCACTAACAGAGACGACTCACAAACATCTCACAGTCCAAAACCCGGCCATCCCAACGCCGGCAACGGGCTCAAGCGCTAGTTCCTCCTCTCTAGCCCTGAATTCCTGCATCTTTCAGGTCCACCACCAGCAAGAAAAAGGTGCGAGGTGCCCGAGAGTGACGTGACTTGTCACCTCGAGCCTCTCACTCACTCATTCTTCACTCACCAACTTGCGACTTTCACTTGACCCAAGTGCAAGGAGTGAGTCTCAGCGCATCTGGCATGAAGGAAGCTTATCGGCTTATGCAGCGCACAAACCGCATCTGGCTGATATTTTGGGTCGGGGTTTACGTTCATTAGTTCCGTGGGTTCTTGTAGATCTCGTCCGACGTGTCCACTATCCATCTGTCTATGGAAAGGAATGCGAAGCTACTGAAGATATTTACACTCTCATACAACCGTGAAAGCCTATGCTTGCCTCACAACTTCTGCAATGCACGCACATTTCAGCTCTTTTGCATGTTCGTCAACTCTTCCCCCTGCCTCAATGCAACCTCGGTGCATTCATAGTTTGGTGGCCCATGCTCTGCTGAAGTCCCCTTCGTTGCCCTCTCCCGATCTTTCCCCCTTGCTCACGACTATGAATAATGCATCGGATCGCTGGGTAACCATGCACATGTCCTTGACTTCGTAACCCCTGCCCGGCATCCAGCTCTGCACTGCACCGCCAATGATCCATGCACAACTTGCATCCCGCTCGCTAAACTTATCCCAATGATCTCCGTGGAGCTTCCCCCCTCCCCCTTCCCGTCCGTCCAGCCGGACGCATTCCCCGTGAGGGATCCTCCCTGCCTCCGATTCCCGAGGCCTGTCGAGCCCTGTTTGGCTGTTCCCACTCTATTCAACTCCATCCCTCCACATCGCTCCAAAATCTTGACTTCCTTCGCGCACTCTTCTACCTGCTTGCTGTCTCCCTTTCCTCCCTTTCCCATAGGTAATGCTGACCAAACCAAAGATCCGGCCTATCGTTACCGACGGCAACCGCATGATCGAATCGCCCTCCCGACGAGACCCCGTACCGGATTGTAATGCTACTGTACGGTGACGACGGCAAGGTAGTATTCCGCGAAGAAACCCCCAGTCGCCGGGTACACCACGGCCTTTCGGCCTCGGCCTCGACCTCGACCTGAACTCTCGGCTCCATCTCCCTCGCTCTCCCTTGCGCGGCGAACAGACCTTTTTTTCTTTCCCCCCATCCACAATCCTCATCACACATCACCATCGTCAACTCCAGGCAAAGCCTAGAGTTTTTCTTAGCTATCCTAGGCTCTAGGCTCTAGCCTTCCTCAGTTCCTAGTGATTCTCTTGCCCCCCTTTCCCCATCTTCCATCCCCCGGTCCGCTCAACAATCCCGCTTGACCCCTCTGTCTTACCTCCCGTCCCTCATCCGCAACACAGGCCGCTCTGCAACCCTTTCTTTCACTCTCTCTCTCTCTCCGCATGCGCGAGAGCCGAAACATTTGTCCCAGAAACAAGAAACAACCCATGCCTGCGCCGTGCCGAACTTGTCCGACCCAAGATTCAAGACTTACGAGATCCAGCCATGGCCAGGCAAAAGCACATACCTTGATCTTCCCAGCCCAGCATCGCCTACCCATCAGAGACACCTGAAAAGGGGACCGTTGTTAGGGATCTTGTTGCCAGCTTTGCTGAGTTGGTGCAAGCTACGGTTAAGCTACCTTTGGAATGGTTCGCACAGCCAGACAGGGGACACCCCGTCCTCCCTTTCTATACAAGTCCATCCCATCCAGCCCAAAAAAATTGTGTAACTGCCCGTCAAAACCTTCAGACGAACGAATGACACATGTCTTCCCTCTCCACAAAACCATTCAACCCGAGCTGCTTGACCTGGCTTGACATCCACCGTGCCATCCTAGTTGCTCATCCTCCTCGTCCTCCACATCCTTTTCGTCTGGGCTACACCACGATATTAAGTATTGGTAGGCACCAGCAAATTCTGCCTGGGTCTCTGGAGTACGGACTAAGGAATACGTTCCACACAAAATTGTTTCTCTCTTTTTCCTTGCCCAATCTGAATCATAAACATCTGAATCATATTCTCAGTTGCTCTGAGAGTCAGACAAAGTCACAAAACATCTCGCCCTCCAAGTTCTAGGCTCCCGTAAACCAAAGATCTCCCTCCTTTTTTCCAAGCCTTCCCCCCATGGTCCATCTATCAAAATGTGAAAAAGAAAGCAAGGAACCTCCACAGAGGCTTGACTAACAGAGAGACAGTGCCCGAGCAACCGAGTCTTGGCTCACCCGTTCCCCTCCACCTACAAGTTCTCGGCTCGCCTATCCCTCCCAGGGGCTGAGAGGAGTTAGGCGTGTCAGGCTCACCCAAACGGGCGGAAGAGGGCTCACAAATTGTTTATTCCAAGCCCCCCAGATCTATCATTCGTTGCCTCTCGCAAAGAGACAGAACGACAAGCCACACAAGCAACCAGAGAGAAAAAAGCCATGTGGTTTTCCCGCTCCCGAACCACGTTTGCTTTGCTTTGCTGTGCTCTGCTTCCCTTTTTCCTTGCCTCGCCGTTTGATTCCTTCTTCCATGCAGTTTCTCCTCTTACACCTCGCCAGAACGAAGGTGACAAAAGTACACCTCTTCGGCCGGCACTCGGACACATACGACTGCTGACTTACACCACCGCTCCGGCTACCACCAGTCACCGCCAAGATTATCCAGTTCTCCCAAGCAAGCCAACCATACATCTAGAAATCACAACTCCGAGACGGCGGCCACCGCAGGATTACCCATCCCCGGGAGGACTGGCGCAAGTATCGTCGCAGTATATACGATAGCTTTCGCCCCAAGCCCGCCCGCCGCCGCCGACCGCCCGTCCGCCAGCTAGCTCATCCGGCACCGAGCAAACCTCTCTCCTCTTACTAAGGTAGCTCTCCACCAAACCCAGAAGATACACCTGCCACACCTGTCTCCTCGTCAAAACGTCCGCCCGAGATCCGCCTTAAGGAAAACGGCTTTTCCGGTGACGGTCCCGTCTCACCAGCAGCATCACGTCACAACCCCCCGGAAACATACGGGTATTCCGTCCGTATCGCCCGTGTCTAACCACGTCAAGTTAACAAGCTCACAAGTTCAAAAGGCAAGCGTGACAACTCACGCCATCATCAGTCGAACGAGTTAAACCTTGACGGGGAGTTCCGTTTCGTCCCCAAATTCTACCAGCTGATTGTACACTGAATTGCTCGTCGACTCACTTCCCCCAACCTCCTCCTTCCCGAAAACACGAAACTTCGAAAAGGGAATAAAAAACGACAAAACGGCGAGGCTTGTAAACGGGACGAGAGTCTAGCTGCTAGCAAGTTTAAAGTTTTCTTCTTTTTTTCACTAAAGTCGTCTTCTCTCCCCTGCTTACACTTAAACCACGCTTGCTCACTAGCTCTTTTCTCTCCTCTCTCCAACACACACTTCTCCCCAATCATCATCACCTTCGCTGTTTCTAAAAGTGTTCAAGCCACCCCGACACGCGACGCGAAAAGCGCGACGACGCCTTTTTCTTGATCTAACCTGAACCCCCCTGCCGTGTCTTGGGCCCAACAGGAACCTGTTCTGTACGGAACTCTGGAGTAGGTGTTAGTTTTGCCTTCGAGATGCCGTGATCGAAGGGCAAAAACTTCACTAAACAATTCGAAAAGCAAAAGAAGAATCAGAAACTGAAATCGATGTAGGCGACTAGAAGACTGACTAAAAGAACAACCAACGTTCCATCTAAGAGACTCGGTGAAGCCCTCCGCCGGTTTCCACCAATCCCCTACCGTAACTTTTTTTTCAAGATTTTCTACGACCTCGCGTGCGCGATATCGCCGTCGTCATCCCGCTGACGCTTGTGAAGAACATAATTTTTTTTAGGGGCCAAACTACGGGAGAGCGGGATACTATCCCCGGCCCCTGCATAAGTGGCCGCCTCACCAAGTCGACAAAGTTCCGCTCTGTCTCGCCAACTCTCAAAGCGATACGATGCTCTATCACCTTTTCCTCTTCCCAAGATAGTCGAGAGGCATGCGCGTTAGAATGAAAAATGTGCCTTGTACGGACGGCACTTCATTATTCAGACTACCTAAACCTGTGATGCCGGTAATCAGGGCTCGCCTCGCTTTCCCCCGCCGCCTCTCTCCGCCCCAAAGCTGCTTTTCCTAGCTGCTTCCTAGCTTTCCCCCTAATGCATCCTTGCTCTGAGGGGCCAAATGTCCGTGCCAAAGAGCTTTTTTCTCTCTCCTCATGGCCAGACCAAGTGATAGAATTCCCGATAGGCAAGCAAACCTTGTTGCCGTCACAAGATGGTGCCCAATGTTTCCCCTTGCTTCAAGAAACCTGTAAACGCCAGGAGCTCATATGTCCCTTGTCTCCGTGATGCAAAAGCCCTTTTGGTGCCCAATCCAGGCAGCTGTATCGAGTCTACTCTAACAAAAAATGGAAAAAAAATCGTCGCGTCGCAATTAGTTTAGGTCGACCTAGCGTTTGTGAGGCTTTCTCTGAATGAAGGGATCGGCCTTCTGCTTCTTCCTGTGAATGACTGGTCCGTTTGGTCCGCCCTGTCCAGGAGGCTAGAGTTTGTGTTAGCCTCGTTCAAAAGTTCAAGGTCTCTTAGCTGGCTTACTCTCTGTGGCAAATTACGGTTCTGAGGAAGTGAAGAGTTGGTAGGCAACGTCCTCGAAGACGATGCCGTCGTCTCCATCGCCGGCGGTCGTGCAGCTGGTGTCAGACCGAGGGCTACCATGGCAGAAGGGTCCTTCGCCGGCTTTGGTGCCTTCGGCTCCTTGGCCTGGATCATAGCTTTGGGTCCCGTCGGTGGCGGTCTGTTGGGCAGCCGGTTCTGTTCGGTCGCCATCTATAATTGTTGTGTTAGGAATTGCCGAGGAAGAGTGTCTGCTAATATCACTGCTTGTGTCGTCACATACCCTCTTTGCGCCACGCTGTCCTTCATTGGCATCAGATGGTCTCTTCTTGGACTCTTGCTTCGCCGTAGATGATTGGATGATTGGTGGTCGATCCGAGTTTCGGGCGGCAGATTGGTGTGCTTCGCCTCGGTTGTTTCCCTCCCAGGAGCCTGGTCGACGCTCCGGGACTGGGTAGTTTGTAGGTGGTTGCTGGGCCGGCTGAGACGGCTTTCGGGGCTGGGCCGTAGGCGCCACACTTGCCATATCAACGTCTTTGATCTGGAGCTGATCTACTATCTCAACATCAAGGTCGTTCTTCTGTTCGGGTTTCGGCGGAGGGGGGAGCGCCTGCAGAACGCTCGGCTTCTGCAACATTGACATGACATCTCCCTTGGTGTAGAGTGATCTTTGCTTGGCGTTGTCGATGAGCTTGTTCCAGAATTCTCCCTGCACCAGGGCTCTGGAATCTCCCAAAATCCACAGAGAGGATTTAGCACGGGTGAGACCGACGTTCATACGCCTAATGTCCTTGACGAAACCAATGCCGCCGGTAGGATCAGCTCGGACGCAAGAGAAGATGATAATCTCGCACTCGCGACCCTGGAAGGCATCCGTGGTGTTGAACTCAATGTCCTCGGTAATCGACTCTCCGTAACGACGCGAGAATTGCCACTTCAGCTCTTGCAACTGAGCTTTGTACGGCGTAATGATACCAATCTTGCCGCGCACGTCGTAGTTTCGTCCGAAATCCGTCTTGAATCGCTCGTAAAGCTGCATGGCAACCTTCAACTCGGAGTGGTTGACCAAAGAGCGGCCCTTGCTGCCCTTCGACTGGGTACCCTCGACATCGAAGAACCGGTAGGGGCCAAGCAGGGCGCTTGCGTGCCAAGGCTGGCGACGGAGTGCGCTCATATCTTCTCCGTCCACAAGCTTGCCTTCGTAGAATTCCAAGCTGGGGAATAAGCTGATCTCGGGGTGCATGCGGTATTGGCGGTCGAGAAGATGGACGTAGTCGGGATGATTTTGCTGCATTCGGACGAACAGACTCTGGTCGTATCCAAATCTAGCGGCGGATTGAGAAAGCACAGTGGGTGGCAACTGCTTCGGATCACCGACGAGGATACACTTGGTGCAGCCGTACTTCAATGGAATCAGGGCGCTGAGCTCAACACACTGCGCGGCCTCGTCGATGATGACCGTCTCGAACTCGACGTTGAGGTTCTTGAACATTTCGTGACCACTACCGCTGAGCGTGGCGCAGAGAACTTGAGCTCCGTCAAGAATCTCTTGCTGGATTTGCCGGCGCCGAATCTCTGCTTCACGGCTCACTGTGTTGCCGCTCGTCTTGTCATCGTCAATCTTGGCTCCAATATTAATCTGAGCACGCTTCAACTGATCGAAAGCTCGCTGCAGGGCTAGCGAAAGATTGCGGTCACCGTTTTTGCGCGCCTCGTCCAGTTTGGGTCGAAGCTCCGCCAGTTCGTCTCTGATTTTGGCCGCGTCGTTATGCATCTTGTCGCGTTCCTCCTTGGCTTTGTTCTGCGTGGTGTCTCCTTCGAGTTTCTTCTTGACCAACTCATCGAGAGTGACGTCTCGGACGGCGGCGTTGATTGCATCGCTTCTTCCCAGACGAAGCACATTGATCTTGTGGAAAGACCCGGTCATCGTCTTGACGCCCTGCTTCAGACGCAACACCAGCTCGTCTACAGCAGCGTTACTGGGAGCGCATACCAGAAGCTTCTTCGGCATGGCGGCTTGGCCCTGGGTAGGAAGCTTGGGCTTGATGGCCGTTCCAGGGGGTTGGATGTTGCCGGTGAGCAGCGAACCGACCATGGCCACAATTGTCTTCGTCTTACCCGTACCGGGAGGTCTGTAAAGTATTAGCGTATGTAAAAAATGAGAGGAACGAAATGGTCCTTACCCTTGAATCAAGGTGAAGCCATCGTTGTCCTTAGCACCGAGAATGGCTTTGGCCTGACCAGGGTTGAGCTGGTAATTTTGCATGACGCCCTTGACGGCCTCGTCGCCGTACTTCAAAATGGGCGATGGCTCGGCTTTGAGGACCTCAAGCATGAGATCGTAGTACTGCAGACTCTCAAGGGCTGCATACTCTCGCTCAATAGTCGTCATGTTGGTGATCTTGACGGCTTGGAGTTCAGCGCCAACACCGAGGGCATTGATGGCAAGCAAGGGGTTATTCTTGCTATTCAAGCGGTATGTCACTTCCAGCCTTTCCTTCTTGTACGTTGTTTTCCAAATTCTTGCCAGAGCATGGGCTTCAGACTTGTCCGTCAGAGGATCAGTGCTTGTTGACACCAGAATAATGTCGCCCTCTGATAGCAGCCTTTCCTTGCTCTCAATCTTGGGAATGCTGGCAGTCACTTCAAGGAATTTATCAACATTCATGCGAGACGCTATCTTGAGTCCGTACGGCTTAGACGTCGACTCATCTTTGGCAGTCACAAAAGATCGCCAGGCTTCGGAAATCAGGAGACCCAAAAAGGTCTGCTTGTACTCCTGAGGGTGAGCATATGAGCTTGCAACCCGTGTAATCGCCATTGAGGACGATGTCGAGGGCGGATCATTGCCCTCGTGGAAGATGTCCCATTCCAGGATGGCTTGATGAAGTTGATCCATCGGGGGGATCAAACGCGCACGCATATCCTTGGCAGAGCGTTGTACCTTTACCTTCTTGACTGGGCCCCGCGTCTTTTCGAGCAGTGCCCGTTCGCGACGTCTTTGGGCTTCATCAACTGCCATTTGGCCTTGTTGTCCCTTGTTAATGAGGTTGTTGAGATCCTCATCTCCAGAATCATCATTGTCTTCCTCGTCGCTGTCGACCAGAATTTGACTCTTCTGCGTTGTGTGTTCTTTGCCAACTACACCACTAAGTCCCTTCAGCCCCGAGCCCTCACCCACATTGGCGGCTCCCCGGAGAGCGCGAACTCTTGCAACCTCATCGGCATCTCTCTTAGCTTTCTCCAATTTGGCTTTCTTGCGCGACTCGATGAGGGCGTTCTTTGATGCTTGAGTGACCACTGGCTCGAGCTTGGGCTTGACGGCCATGCGGGGAATGGCTGGCGACGCTTTCTGACGAGCAGCCATTTGGTCCAAGATTGATCTTTTCTTGTCGACGGAACTGCTGAGTTCGAGAACGTCATCCTTGTTTGACCGAACGGCCTGGGACGTTGGCGTTGAAGAACCAGACTTGGACCAGGCATCGAGAAAACTCTGTTTCTTTGGCTTCTCTTTAGAAACCGGCTGGATCTGGATGATTTCAATGTCATCATCTTCACCCAGAGCTTTCAGAAGCTCGGCACGCTGTTGGTCGTTCATGTTGGTAGTGACTGGGTAGCGGCCGGTCGTCGATAACTTGATGCAGGAGTCTTGGACGTAATTTTTAGAGTCACTGGGGATGTCGATTGAATTCTCGCGCAGTCTCGTCAGTAACTTGGCCACAACCTTGACCGTGACTTCAACCAGGTAGGTATCCCTCAGGCGAAGCATCCTGACAATGCCAAAGAGATGGCGCTGAGGATCCTTCAGAAGCTGTTGCATCTTGGTCAGTTCTTCCTCTTTCGGCTTTGCCTGCTTCGCATCGGTCTGCGAGGTAGTAGCTTGCAGCGCCGATGCAAAGAGACCATCCTGGGCAAGCATGCCGTCTGCCAGCTCGATGACATCGCGACAAAAGTCTTGCATCACTTTGATATCGGCAAGATGAGACCAATTGCCGGTAGACGTGAATGCGACTTCGATGTATCTCCAATGGGCAACCCACCAGCCAGTGACGGCGATCTGTTCATTGCTATCCAAAGTTTTGGATCTGAGGATGCCAGACGAAAGATCACTGAGGCCTGAGAGCACGACTTTGGCGGTGTTGATAATATTGCGAGCGGGTCCCCATGCAGCATGTGCCGGCTCCATGATTCTTCTTATTGCGAAAATCATGGAAGAGAGAGTGGTGCTGAGATTTCGTTCAAGTAAAACGGTGAGTGCGTCTTCTTTGGAAGGCTGTTCGGTAATTAACTTGATAAGTTCGGCACTAGCACTGCTGATTTCGTCCTCGCCGTGGACTGTGAAAGCAATGATGGGCCGAATGCTCTGGGCCATAAGGCACAGCTCGTTGAGTTGTGGGGATGTGAACTCGCACATTCGCTGTAGAACACGTCCGAGTGCCTCCGCGACCATGTGGAAACGGTTGTTGAAGCTCTTCTTCGCCGGGTCCAACTTCTCAGGTTCCTTCCTATTGGGATGGAATCTCTCAACGTTGATCAGAGGAGCCATGGCCATGAGCATGGTCTTGGCTAGGACGAGCTTGCCTTCGTAAAGGTTTTCCAGAAACCCGTCCCACAAGTCTGCCGATTTGCGGGTGACGGCCGTCTGGATTGGCTTAGGCGTAGCCTTGCGGAGTTCGAGATGCTCCTCGGCGGTTACTCTAGAGTCCAAGCTCAAGGCGGCACTGATAACGCTCATGGCTGCTTTGGGCACACCGAGTGTGTGTTGATCTGTGCTCCTAGTATCCGCTCCATCGTTGATGATGTCCTTGTACTTGAGAGTGACGTTGAGAATTGTGTTGATGTAGACAGATGTGGTGCCTGAGATGACATCAATTGTAGGGTCCAAAAACGACCGCAGAACATGGTCTAGAGCGTCTAAGCCAGCCCTGATACAAGCGGCCTTTCCTTGCTCGCCAATTCTGGCGTCGTGGATGACCTGTTCGAAAAGCAGGTGAAGCAACTGTTCGCAAGCATCGCCCTTTTGCTGACGTTTGAGTGAGGCAATCCATGTGTTGATCCACGAAGTTGTTATTGACTCGACCGAGTCATTTTTGCCCGTGCCATCGTCATACTTGATGGCGAAGGTCAAAGATTGCGCAAGAAGCTGCTTGAACAAAGGCTGGGAGAGGAGCTGCTCAATGACGACGAATGGTCTCGCGTCACCAATGGTATCCCAGAAAGCCTGTGGTGACGTTTCGAGCAGGACAGTCAACGCTTGGATGATGAGCAGCAGGATTGCCTCCGACTCGCACTGCATATGAACGAAGAGCAAGTCGTAGATGCTCGGCTTGATCTCCATACCCCGAATTCCGTGCAACAAGAGCTTCTCGTCCAAGGTCTTGATGATCCAGTTGACAGCTTTCCAGAAACGCTCGATCTCCGGGAGGGATGCGGGATCCCTGGGGTTGAGTGCTGAAACTGACTGAATGGCTACCACCAAGTTGTCGTGGATAGCCCAGTTGAATTGCTCCTGTGTCAAAGACTTTGGCCGGAGGCGCTCCCATGACTTTTCAGCGAATTGGAGGCGGACCTTGTCTTCTCCAAAGAGGAACTGGGTCATGGCAGGGAGCAGGACGTTTTCACCCAGCTTCAGTGGCTTCTTGCCAGAGAGGCGGACGAAGACGAACTGGAACAGAGTTCTTTTCTCCGGCACGCTGACGTATGCCATACAGCATAGAGCCTCGTAAACAGTGAGCAAAACTGCGCCCTGTTCTTCGCCCAAGTCGCTTCTCGCAAAGGCGCGGCCCTCATTCTCCACCTTCAGTATGATGTCCTTGGCCCATTGAAGACCTTTATCGATTCGGTCGAAATCGAAGCGGTGGAGGCAGTTCTCGATACCAGCGACGGCTTCCTCTGGCCATTTCCTAAAGTACGATTAGCATGTTCATGGCGTTTGCTAGTGGCACTCTGGCTGATCTGAACTTACTCAGAAAAGACCTGAAGATACTTCTTCCGGTACATGTGCCAGTTGAGGACGCACTTGTCGCAGTTGTGGAGGTTAATAGCCATCCGGCTGCCCCAGGCGTCGAGCCAGACACCAGCCTTATCTTTGCCATAGGCAAGGAGAAGACTAGTCCAGTAGGCGATGTCGAGCCGCTCCTTCCATTTTTCTACCCTCTCCTGCTTCTCTAGAGCTGTGATTTCTTCGCCATCAGTGTTCAGGTCGTCGTAGTCCTCAAAATCATCCTCGTCAACCTTGGGACAGAGAAGGTGGAAGTCGGGAGGAATTTGGGTAAACTTCCGATAGCTCTGCTCGAGGATATCCTCGACCGGTTGTGACTCCATTTTACTGTAGTGATCGAGCCCGTCGAGGCATATCGTGAGGGTGATCGAGGTCGGACAAGCGCAAGGTTGCTCGATGGTTTGCGTTGAGTGACTCGCGATGCGACAGGCGAAGGAGCTTCAGCAGTGGTGGTGAATTCGGGAGGAAGGACTCGTCGTGCTCTTGCGACCAAGACGGAAGGTAATGAGATAACTGAATCCTCCGCGCGATTCAAGATTGGAGCAAAGTCAGACCTTGCGGAGGTCAGCTTGAGAAGCACACGGAACAGGTCTCGCGTCGGCGAGTCGGAAAATTGTCGATTTTCGTGGTGGTCCCTCTTCGGTTGCTCGGCGTTGCGATAGGAACGGTCTCGAGGTCAAGCAAACGGAAATAGCCTTGCGGGAAAGGTTAAGCGTCAGGGAAATAACCCGCTGTGGGGAACGATGTGTTTGGAGGAAGAAGGTCGCGAGAAGGGAAGGGGAAGCCCACGATCTTCTGGGTTGGTTGTAAGAGGGGGAAAGAAGGTAGACGATGGCAATCAAAAGGTGAAGCTAGGCAAGTGGGCTGCAAAAATGGCAGTGACACGCTCCGGCCCGGCCAGGACGCGGCCAGGCGTCAATTCCCATTAAAGCGTGTCGACAGGGGGTGGAGACTTGACCCATCGTGAGGTACCTCATCGAAGGTGGCGCGTGGCAGGCTGAAAGGGTACTGCAGTTTGTGCAGTGGCTAACTTTGACAATGCTGTGGCACAGGAACAAGGAGGCTTCCACTATGGGTGCACAGACCATGCCTTAAATCTCACCTCAAAGCATCCAACAGTGGTTCCTTGATGACCTTTTTGGCGCTGCATTCTTCAACAACACAATGATCGACTTTAGCTTAGCCCATGTCAATGAGTCTATGCCATGGATCAATGAATCCAAAAGGCATCTAAAGATTACTTGTGTTCTGAAAGACCAAGATCTATCATGGCTTAGTGAGACTGTACCGATTCCGTGCAGCTTTGGTGTGTTTTTTGCAGCTTCTAGAGTCGCAACATAGCAATGTTTGAGAGACTAAGATGACTGGATATTCATGGCTGGATTCTCTCATCTAGAGTGAAGAACAGTCACCTACTTCAATTGTCTGGATAGGGCTCTCCAACAAAGTGGTCCCAAAGAGCAAGGAGCTCTCTCAAGCTCAAGTCAGTGCAACAGCAATACGGGTTTGCGGCATATTGGACATCTTGGAATATTGCTAAGGTTTATGATGGTTGAAAATGTATGCCTCTCCCCAGCAGTTCTCAAGAATGTTTTTGCTCGAGCTAGTTGAATCCCACCAACCCGCAATTAAATCTCCTAACTGAAAACACCCCTCATATGCCCTCCTAACTTCGTGCCCCCATCAGATCATGCTGTGGATGAGAATGGCGACCCGCAGGAGATGAAAGATCCTCCAGATTCCTGTATTAGGAACAAAACCTTCATGCTGTGTCTCCTTTGCGGATGCTCCATCTCGATGGTAGATCCAGCCACATAAAATCAATGTAACGTATTTCCTTGGTCCCGGAGACCTAATGCTCTACACCCGGGCTAAGCGGTATGTTCGTCTAATCCTGATTCACCAACTTCAGGCTTGGTGGTTTTTACCCATACATCGAGGGTGCCAGATCCTCCCACACTCTTGTTCTTCACCTTCGCCTGGCTCTGTTTCTTCCCACGGGCCAGCAGGTGCTCAAGTGGACAGACAGTGCTATTCCACTTCGCAGTACCTTCCACCGTCGACCCTTGGCAGCGGTAGCAATTTCCACCGTGCTCGATAAAGAGCTGATGAAGTCCGTACTTGAGGTGGTCGGGTACTCGAAAGTCGCAGTGCATGTATGTGTCGTTGGGGTTTGCTTTCATGGGGGCCCATCCCAGCCATCTTGTCATCCGATGCACATGGGTATCGACCGCAAAGCTGGGCATCTGCAAATTGAATAGGAGAAGACAAGAAGCAGTCTTGACTGCGACCTGGGGGTATTTGACGAGTTCCAGCATTGCATCATGTGGCTTCATGACTCGGATGTGATCCAGTGTTAGTATGCCTGCATCGATCTTGCTCAGTTGATGATCCCTTTGTTCTGGACTCAGTCTCGCCGTTCCAGGCATATTGGCAGGCTCATCCGTTTCCTTCTCCTTGAGATACGTCTTTGCTCTCTTCTTGTTGTCTTTGCGGATCATGCTGAGGCACGTCTTGATGGCATTATACTTTGTGAGACCAAGTCCACCGGGTCGGAAAGCCTTCAGCACTGCATCTTTCGGGGCCCGTCGCAGAGCATTCCAATTGATGCTCTCTGGACCTGGCCCTTTCTTGTCAAGCATTCCAATCAGTTTGATGATATTTTCTATCACCTTGTTGGCGCTTTCTCGGGTGACCGACTGGCTGATGATTGTTCTCATCATAGCATCAACCAAGCAGGGCACTTCTCCACACCCAGCGATATTGGCAGAAGATGGCGGTATTGTGGCTGGTTGGATAAAGTTGAGTGCCTTACGCTTTGCAGGCTCTTCACTCTGCTCTCTCTGTTGGTATTCCTGAACAAGGATGTCGTAGACAACCTGGCACTCCCCTGCACTAGGTCCAGGCCAGTCGCGGTATGGTGTCTCTCCTGGCATCAGTCCATAATCCTTCTCCTTAACGACCTTCTGATCGTCCTCTGAATCTGAGTCATCAATTGAATCTGAATCGCTTCCTGCTTCGCCGAGCCCCTCTTCGTCTGCCTCATTGAAATCCGTGGTCTCTGTTATCGGCTTCTTCGACCGCCGGTATCTCTTGGAAGCTTTCTCTAGATCTTCTGCAGTCATACTCTGTCTCGTCGACGGAGAATCTTCAGAGCAGCTATTCGGAGATGAGTACTCATCTCTGATGGTGACCTCAAGGTTGGGAATGTAACTCCCTAAGCCATGGGGAAGATCTACCCTGGTCTCCTGGGTAGGTGATGCGTCCTTGATTGCATCTTTCACTCGCTTGTTCGATTGTAGATGGCCATTATCCTCCTCATTGTCATCAGCGTGTCTCTTCGCCCCGGTAGCAGCAGATCGGGACATTCTTGCGCCTCCTGAAGGTGTTTTGTTGGTAGTGTGCTAGGTAGAAGTCAGCTTAAACGTTCTGTCTTCTTTTGGTGAACGCACGCTCTCTTGTTCCGCTGGCTCCGGAGGACTCGTTTGGGTGGTCTGTATGTTAGAAGTTTGGTGCAACGCCTCTTGATGTGCTGACCGACAGATCGTTCCTTTGTGTACGGGCAATGGGATCGCTCCTGCGTCTGCTGGAGATTGGATCGCTCCAGCATCGATTGATGATAGGATCGCTCCAGCATCAGCTGGCCATGGGGTCACTTTTGTGCCTCCCGGTAATTGAACTGTTCCATCCTCTACTGGCGAAGGGACCGTTCTCTTTTCCACAGGTGAACATATGTCTCCTTCGTCTGTTAGTGGTATAACATTATCCTAGGAGTCACACTTACCAGGAGACTGTTTAGATGTTTCTGCCTCTTCTGAAAGTATAAGAATCTTCTGGGTCGCTGGCCTGGTCGCACTACGAGTTTGCATGATTTCAAGAGAAATGTAGAATAATAGTAGAAGAGTTCAAGAAGACTTAGGAGGTATTGATTGATTGCAGTGAGATAGTATGAGTGCAATGTGCTCTACTTTGTGGCATACGTGGAGGGGAACGTTATGGTTATGGCGATCGGGAACCTAACACTAAGAGAGGTTGTGGTAAATGTTCTGAGCTGCTTCGGAATTTCTTGCATTAGGTTCGTAGAGGCGTTCCGTTCAGTTGATATGTACAAAGTGGGAGGGTTGCCGTGAATCACACTTTGAGGGGCGATGTTGGGATGGAGTTGATTGAAAGCGTGAATCGCCGTCGTGTATTTAGTACGGATGAATTAAGCGAGGTCTTCTATCCCAACTACGTACCTCATCTAGAGGACCCATTGAGCTGGGTCGGAAGATGCCTAAGGTAGCCTCAATTGTGGGAAGAAAGGAAGGAGTCCAGGCAGAGGTGGGAAAGTGTCAAGGGATGTGGGTGCCTGCCTTATTTCCCCTGGTTCTTGACGTTACGTTGGGAATCTATTGATGCTCACGGTATCGCTACTAAGTACCTGAGAAACCTCGTTCAGGCAGGTTGCTTTGAGAAAGAAAAGGCTACTGCGTTGTTCTATTAATGTCTGAGTGCCAAAGGAAGAGATAAAGATGGTGAAGAAGGGGCCTAAGGAACTACCTTGAGCATTCACGGTAATCGTTGGTGAAGGGAGCCACTGCCCACAAGGAAGCATCCAGGAACTCACACAATATTTTCAAAGAAATTTTGAGCACTTTAGGTTATCCGTTAATTTGGAAGTCACCAAGAGGGAATATGACACCTTCAAGCAAGAAGACGACGGCTCGGCGTGAAGGCGGTATGATGCTATTCTCTGCCTTTTATCTCGCTACCTCGAGAGCTCAAGTCTGCCTTTGGACCTGAAGGTGGCATTCAGATGGGTGAGAATGTGACTAAAAGACTTCACAGTTGCTCTTATGATCTACTTCTAGGTCAAGAGGTGAAGTATAGCCATGGGAGGTGAGGCGAGGGTGAGAGTAAGTCGGGTTAATTGTCTAAAGCGAGGCGGGGAAGTACCTGACCAGTGACCTATCCGGTTGTTTTCAAGTACTCTACCAAATATCTAGATGGTCTGAATCTTCTTCACGTTCTAGATCCATATCAGGAAATTCTCCACCCTCACCTACTCCTCGTTCTGACCTATCCTGTCCTCCATTGGGCTGGTAGTAGGCGTAGTTCTTGCCTCGAGGGCAACTTCAACCCCTCAGGTACGCCCAATCGGCTTCGTCTTCTCAATCTGTTAAATTGACGGTTCATAGACTTTTCTCACCTCCAAATATCCCACTTGGACCTTTAGTTTTGACAACATCTCGAGCGGCGCGACCAAGATCCGAGCGACCAAGTGCCTGAACTGGTGCCAACCAGCAGCAGGCGAGGTTCAACGAACGAGTCCATTATAGGGTGGAAGAGGATAGTCTCGCCAAGGTTCTTCAGGCTGAGATCAACAGACCAGCAGACTGGAAGACCGACAACTTTCCATACGCAGTTCTTAGGTTCTTGGAAGCAATCTATTCTCGTCTGAGACCTACACATCACCAAACCAGGCAAGAGGTAGCCTTGTAAGTCGTTTCCCTCTCTTTATCTTGCAACTCCAGCTGATCAGACAGCCAGTCCTCGAACATCAAAGCAATGGCTACCGCTGTATGCTCAGGCAGTAGCCCCTCCGCTGCAATCGTCGTGGATGATGATCACACATTTGAGGATCAAACCACGACAGAATGGCAGCGAAGGGTCAATGCCTATCGCCCTCAAGGCCGAGAGAATTCTGTCATCACCATCAACAGTGATTTCGACGTCCTAGAACAGAAAGAAGAGGATATCGCCGACAGAGAACTCGAAAATCTTATCGATCTTACTGTTGACGATGACCCGGTTGTCCGACCCCGTCGCCGACGTTGCCAACCGCCCCCCGCCAAGGACCCTGAGCATCATCACCAGAGCATAGGAACTGGCCAACGGCTGATCAAGCTCAAGAAGTTTTATGAGCTGGATCCTTCGCAATGCCCTAGATCGGCGCTAGAGCCGCATTTTATTCTGGTGAAACATATCACGGAGAATTTGGTCACCAACAAAATCACAATTACCGGACTGCCGTTTGTCAGAGTACGCTCACTCATGGCCAAGTTGCCGCGAAAGTTGAATGAGGTGGCCATCGTCTACGAACTAGACGAAAACGACGACAGGACGGTCAACGAGCAGGCAAGCATTGAAGTTCCCTTGTCGGCAATCATCGGACCTTCCAGAAGCTTTCACACTACGAACGCGCTCTACCCGCACCATCGCTATGACCCGAAAGCCTTCGTCAGCGAAAAGGCAGTCGAGAAGGAAGGTCCGCTGGTATGCCGATGGAAGTACTTCGTTCACTACCGAGACTCTCAGAAGAAGAAGAAAGGCGAAGCTCATCACTGGACATTGGAACGTATTCGAGCGCACGAAGTCGAGAGAGAGGATTTCAAGGTCTCCGAGAAAGCCCTGCGATCTGACTGGCGAGGCGTGACAATCCGTGGAGGCGCACATGTTCCGGAGTCGCAACCCCACGTGCTTGGACAATCTGCCGAGAAGCAGAAGTACACAGTCTTTGACTCCTTTTGCGGCGCCGGCGGCTTCTCGAGAGGCGCCGAGCGGGCAGGGATGAAAATTCAGCATGCCGTCGATTCCTGGGATCGGGCGTGCAATACCTACCGCCAGAACTTCCCGAATACCAATCTTTTCGAGATGACTGTCGACGAGTTCATTCTTTCTCAGAAAGATGTCCCAATGAGAGTGGATGTTCTCCATCTTTCACCACCATGTCAAACATGGTCACCGGCACACACCGTCGCGGGACAGAACGACGAGGCCAACATCGCCTCGCTCTTCGCCTGCAGAAGTCTCATTGAGAAGGTGCGCCCTCGACTGTTCACGCTGGAGCAGACGTTCGGTATCATGCAGCCGGCCTACGCCCCCTTCTTTAACACTCTCGTGATGGGTTTCACCGAGTTTGGGTACTCTGTGACTTGGAAGCTGGTCCATCTCCAGACCTGGGGGCTACCTCAAGTCCGAAAGAGACTAATCATGATTGGCGCCTGTCCCGGGGAGAGGTTGCCTCCATTTCCCAGAGCAACCCACTCTGAGACGGGAGCCGGCGGTCTGTCAAAGTACGTGACCATTCGGCAAGCACTCTCGAGAATTACAGACACCTCGTCCGACCACAACCCGGAAAACGAGATGAGAAACACCTTGCCTATTGGGTCAGTCGTCTCCGACCCGGATCAGATCTTGAAGAGATGCGTTACATGCTCCGGAGGTCAGAATATGCACTGGTCCAACACTAGGGCATACACGGTGCGCGAGTTCGCCAGCCTGCAGGGATTTCCCGTGTGGCATCAATTCGCCGAAGCGCCCAAGTCAGCTTTGAAGAAGCAGATTGGCAATGCGTTCCCTGCCTGCGTTGTACGACCGCTCTACGAGCACCTGAAGAATTGGCTTCTGGCCGAGGACGGCTTCGCCCCGGCCCGTGACGCGAGGAACAGCGTCGGCGGAAGAGAAGTGGTGTTCCTGACCGAGGCACCTGCGCCTGCATCCGCGCCGCGCCGTGTCCCTGTTCCGTTCGCGATGCCGTCGCCCTTGAGTAACCAGGGAGACTCTGCGAGCAACGCCATGATGCTTGACGATAACGAGGATGATCAGATCGATATCAAGTTCTACGGTGGTTCCGATATTGAGATGTCAGATGTGCCCGAGGCGCCCAGGTCCCCAAACACCCCTGACACGCCGCTGTCGTACTACCGGGACCGGTCCCGATCGAGGACGATGTCACTTGGGCCGTCTCCAGAGCCGGTGCAGTTTGGGATGAAGGACTCACCTATTGTGATTGACTAAAGGGGTACAAGAAGGATTATATTGTGTGTGTGAGAATTTGCGAACTTCGTCGCGTTGTCAATTCTGAACGACGATCTTGCACGACTGAGCAGGAATTTGATCATGAAAAGGAACAGAAAAAGGTGATGTGTTGGACACTGGTTATTCTCAAATACTACGAGGAATTGGCCCAAGGGCACGGATTTCCGAAGTCATGAAGGAACCGGATTATGGACTTTACACTGAGCTGAGGGGAAGAAAATGAGAGGAAGGGAATTACTGTTTCTGTAGTCTAGGTCTGAGATTAATCTGCATTTTTTCCCTCGAACATTTCCTCTAAAATCCCCCTTCACCGTGAAAAACAGTCACCACACTCACGACCTCAACACACTCTGGTCAACCCAGCTAACAAACCCAAACTCCCCCTCAGGCGTCTGGAACACGTCCTTGGGCTCCCTGTACGGCGCCGCGCCCGCGGCGTCCAGCACAATCGTGACGTTGCTCGCCTTCATCTGCTCGGGCGTCCAGCCCGGTCCGCGGTCGTCATAGACGGCCATGAAGGTGTAGTTGTTGACGCGCGGCTCACTGGCCTGCCACTCAATGTAGCCCTGGGGCTTGATCGAAGCATCAAAGAAGGACTGCATGAAAATAGAACGGTGCTGGGCGTTCCAGGGGCGGCCGAGGGCGCAGGCGCCGCGGATGGAGGGCGCGACAGAGGCATTTGCGGCGAGGACCTGGGAGTCGGAGATGTAGACTCCGTACTTGTTCTCAAAGGTTGTGTTTGTTCCTAGAAAAATTCATGTTAGTCAAGACTCTGAGTCATGATGGAACATGGTGGAATAAGAAAGAAAAAAAACCTACCCTTCCAAGCAGTGATACCGCCGCCGCAGTTCCGCAGCGACAGCGTTGACTTCTCAATATACGCCGTGCCGAACCCGTACAGGAAATCCGTCTGGCCGGCAATCACGTTGTCGTAAAAGTACGCGTTGCCCAGCTTCCCGACGTACAGCGTATCCTGCCACCCGTACAGCCCGCACGAGTAGAACCCGGCGTTGGCCCTGCTCACGCCCACAGCGTGCGCGGGGCCGTTGGAGTAAGGGTACTCGTCGTTGCGGAAGTCAATGTTGTACGCGCGGAAGTCGGCGCACCCGAAGGGCGTGTCGGCGGGCACGGGGAAGCCCGTGGGTCCGGAGCCGGTGAGGGTGGCGTTGAGCGTGGGGCCGACGGAGAGGACGCTGGTGTAGGCGTTGTCCGGGAAGCGGACGTTGTGGTTTGTGGCGTTGAAGAGGACTTGTACCTCGTTTTGGGCGTTGCCTGCCGTGGCGTTGCCCGAGGCGGAGTAGGAGATGCCGTTGCCGGGGGAGTCGGTCATGCCCAGCAAGGTGAGGGGACCGGGACGGGTTACGTTGAGTTGTTCTACGTAGATGCCCGGCGCGATGAGGATTGTGTGGGCTGTTGTGTCGTGGGGGAGGGAGGCGATGGCGTCCTGGATGGTTGTGAAGTTTGCGTGCTTGGAGGTCTTTGAGACGAAGAGGGTGTCTGCGGGGCAGCCCTCGAAGGGGTTGTTGCAGGTCTTCTTTTGGCATGCTGCGTAGGTCTTTGCCGGGCCTGAGGGGATCGCGGCCGCGGCCAGGGAGACGAGGGCCCCGGAGAGGAGGATGGATGCCTTCATCTTGGAGCCTGTTTCCTGGTTCTCTCACTTACAAAGTTACTCGTACAAGGGAGAGAAAGAGAAGTAGACTAGAGGAAGGGGGAAGAGCAAAGACTCGGCCGAGCTTGAAGATATATACAAAAAAAAAGAGTGTGATGGTTGAGTTGGTGTTCTTCTGAACAAGCTGAACAAAGAGACCCGATGATCTGGATGGGGTTTGCTATATATCCTTCCCGCCCGTCCCATTGCTACCTACCCTTGACTACCTTAGCCAGTGCTACTCTGCCAGCCTAAGCTTTCCCTTGCCCATATTACCCGATGCTTGTCACAATCTCGTCGACAGCTCGCGAGTTGGGGGCGGGAGCAGGTTTTCCAGGTATCCCCCCTGTCCCGGGTTCAAGTCTCGCTGTAATAGAATCGAACGGCTGTCGATAACTTACACACTTAGAAAGAGTAAGGCACACACGCACACAAAGCTCAAGCGCGCGTATTGTGGGCGGAGACAGATGTGGCACTTGCAGTGGCAGCGCCAAAGTATACCATATTGGCCCCTCAGGAGAAAAGCGAAAATCTCGCAAAACTCGCGGATTGCGGCCTCCATTGACTGTCAACAGTACGGGGTACATCGGCTCAGCTTACGACTCTCCCTCTCCCTCTCCCTCTCTTTCTGTTTCTTCCTCTTCCCCGGGTTGGACGCGCGGGGTAGAAGACGGAGTTATTACCCCGGAAATCCCATCGCCGGCAGACGTGTCCAAGGAATATTGTGTCCCATGGGGAAGAAGAGGCGTGGCAATGGGACGAACATGATGAGCACATGGGAGTGCCGTAGGCGACATGGTCAAAAGTTGGGGAAAATGAGGAGGTCGAGTCCCCAACTTTTGGGGCTCTGCAGGGCTTCTGCAGACGTGCAGGTGGAAGAACTGCAGCTGGCGGATTCCACGAACCACAGCTTGCAGGGCCTCGCAGGGGCACTCACACTAGCCATAAGCCATAAGATTTAGTGTCATTAAGTGTCAACGGTGGTCGTCGATGACGCGGGGAAATGGCAACTTGACAACCGGCCAGAGTCCAAGGTACCTGATAGAGAGATATGAAGGGGGCCGGAAATCAAGCAAAAACCAAGCAAAAACCAAGCAAAACCAAGCCTTCGGAAACGCGGCATGGGCGTAAGCCAACCGGCTTGGCCTGCGAGCTCCCCCACACTGGGTACGTGGGGTAACCCTGGCAAGCCCGCCTCAGTCAACGCTGGAAGTCCACTGCAGCGACTGCACGCCTTCAGGGGCACCAATCAGTGAGAGTTCGCAAGAGGCGCCCCTCTGTTGGCCCTTAATTAGCGCTAGCCTGCACTGTAATTGATAGCTTGGAATTGCCCAATAAGCACTCGGGAAACCTTGTCATTGGTTTATTCCTTTTTCTTTTCCGTCACCTTTTTCTGCCCGTCTCCAATTCCCGTTCCTCTCATTCTCTCTCTCTCTCTCTCTCACACTGACTCTCACTCTCACTTTCACTTTCACTCTCTTTGACTCTTACACGTGTAAGTTCTCTCAGCCTCCATCTCCTTCAAAAGAAACATTATTTCCCCTGACGGACTCGCCCGGGACTCCATGTCCAAACTCGCCCAAAGCACCACCATGATCCTCATCTACTGCCAGATTTCCTCCTGCTAAGCTTTTCTCGGAAACGGCGGAGATCACCGCACGTAATCGTTCACAGGCATGTACCCGGTTTCGCCATATAAAACACAAAAGCTTGATTTTGTTGGCCGTTTTCTCTCTTCCTTCCTATCCAGAAGATCAGATGAATAGCCGTCCGCCCTGTCCTCTCGTGGTTTAGCCCCTTGTGTCCGTCCAGTCTCCGTCCATTGAAGGTCTGCGAGTACCTAATGACGGCGAAGCTTTGCCGTCTCGTCCGTCCACCTCATCCCCATGTGCCCTTGCCGTTCTTCCCTGAAGACTCGAACCCCTTCATATGGACGGAAAAATTGCAACCCATGGTCCCATGCCATGTGCTCTTTCTCCAATCTTGCCCTTGCTACTAGCTAGACCCCTTCCCTAGTGCCCCTGCTTCACCTACAGTAGTCACCCCTAATCGAGCTATCGCCGTGTCATTCATGGTGGATATTCTTCCAACGCCGAGAAGCTTGCCCCCCTGCTCCGCATCGGCGCATATCCCCTCCCCGAACATCAAAGGGCTCCAACACTCATTCTCACCGCAGAAGATCTGATATAAATCCTTTCCCCAGCCCTTTCGCAGCGTAGCAGTCTCAAAACGGCTTTGTACAGCTTCTCCAATTGCTTGGCAAACCACCCCCAATCGTCCTTGGCGCATCAGAACAATCCTGACCGCCGTTACATTCTTTTGATCCTTTTTCATTCTTTTTCTTTTGCCCATCCAATTACTGTTCACCATGGTCGCTCCAACCCTGCTCGGCGGTCTCCTCGCCGCCGCCCTGGTGCCCTTCACCCACGCCGCCGCCGGTGGCCGCCCAGACATCAAGGCCGCCCCCTTCCACCCGGGCCGCGCATTCCCCGCCTCGGCCCCGAGGACAAAGACCTGCGCCGTAAAGGCCGGCACAAACGGCAGCGACGACTCGGCCGCCATCCTCCAGGCCTTCCACAGCTGCAACAACGGCGGCACCGTCGTCCTCGACAAGACGTACACCATCTGCAACCCTCTCGACCTCACGTTCCTCAACGCCGTCGACGTCGCCCTCACCGGCACCGTCAACTTTTGCGACGACATTGACCACTGGCTGCCCCGCACCTACAAGTACACCTTCCAGATCTCTTCCTCCATGTGGAAGTTTGGCGGCAAGGATGTCAACATTTACGGCAACGGCGTCGGCACGCTCAACGGTAACGGCCAGAAGTGGTGGGACCGGTTCGCGTCGAATGCTACGCTTGAGAGACCTATTCTCTTCGTCACTGATGGTCTTCACGGCGGCTCTATCACTGGCTTGAAGATGGTCAACTCCCCTCAGGTAATATCCACTCACTCACTCACTCGTTTACTCTCACCCACCTCTCATGAAATCTCATTTACCTCACATGAAATCTGAAGAATACCCACTAACATCAAACCCCCAACCAGTGGTTCAACCTCATCGCAAACAGCACCGACGTCCTCATCTCCGACATCAACATCAAGGTCGGCTCCACCTCTTCCAACCCGGCCAAGAACACCGACGGCTGGGACACCTACCGCTCCGACGGCATCGTCATTCAAAACTCCGTCATCAACAACGGCGACGACTGCGTCTCCTTCAAGCCCAACTCGACAAACATTGTCGTCCAGAACCTCGTCTGCAACGGCTCCCACGGTATCTCCGTCGGCTCCCTCGGCCAGTACATTGGCACCTTTGACGTCGTCGAGAACCTCTACGTCTACAACACGAGCATGTCCAACGCCTCGGACGGCGCCCGCATCAAGGTCTGGCCCGGCATGGACACCCCCTTCCAGCCCAACCTCTCTGGCGGCGGCGGCTCGGGATACGTCAAGAACGTCACCTACGATACCTTCCACAACGACAACAATGACAATGCTATTACGATTGATCAGTGCTATGGCCAGAAGAACCAGACCATCTGCAACCAGTACCCTGTAAGTTGCTCCCGGAGCATCTAATGCAACGACTAACACCATCCCTCCTAGTCCAACATGACCATCAGCGACATCTACTTCAAGAACTTTGACGGCACCGCTTCCTCCAAGAACGACCCCCGCGTCGGATCCCTCGTCTGCAGCAGCCCCTCCGTAAGTTTTTCCCAATTGGTTTTCTTGGCAAGAAGGCATGGCACTAACAACCGAGCCAGAAATGTGTCAACATCAACGCCTCCAAGATCAACGTCAAGGCCCCGAGCGGCAAGAACCCCCAGTGGCTCTGCGTCAACCTCGACACTGGTCTGCTTGACATCAACTGCGTCACCAAGGTGACTAAGAGCTAGAAAGAAGTTCTTGGCCTCGTTTAATCTTATTCTGTATATTTGAATTTATTACTTTCTCTTGTATTTAAAAAGGAAACTTTCCCCGGGTACTTTTATGTGAACCCTCACAGGTGCAAAATTTCCTAGAAGGGGGAAATGGTGGATCTTATCACATATCATACCTTCCTCTTTTTCATAGCTATAGACTTTGTGAAGGATCAGAAATCGACCGATCGCCTACGGGAGGCTCAACCTTATTAAAGACAACAATCCTTCCCATAAATTGCCATTTCGTCGGTCCAGTCTAACAATGCTCGTCAGCCCTTCAAGCTTGACTCGGCAAGCTGTCAGAAGGTTTGTCAAACCTCCACACAGCCATATCCCTCATCTCGGCAAACCGCCACACCTTGATGCACTCCTTTTCGACGGCGACAAGCCTCCCGCCGCACTTTTCACAGACTCTCATGCTGCCCACGTTCTCCAGGTCAACCTGCGCAATGAGATGCGTGATCTCGACTTGATCCCCGTCGTCATCGTCGCTCTCTGCATCTTTCGTAGCTGCCGTAGCCCCATTCTCTTTGGTCTGCAACCTTTGATCCAGATCTCCAGCAGAGGAGGCATGGGCACCATCATCTCCCTGTCTCCTCTGGCCTTCTGCTGCTGACGCCGCCACCTCGGTGACAACAGCCGCCTCCCTCCTCGGAGCCAACCTACGCTGGCTCCAGTACATCTCCAGAAACGCCGTGATCGCGCGTGTGGCGTATCCTTTGCCCCAGCAGTCGGACCGCAGCTTGTATCCGATCGACAGGCCCCAAGCTGATACCGTCGTCGTCCTGATGGTGCCAATCATCTTAGTCTCTCCGACGATGTTGCTGGTGGCAGGAACCCCGTTATTGCCGCCGTCTGCTGGTAGTGGAGGGGGGGCCGCGTAATCCGAGACCATGACGGCACAACTTAGATGCCAGGGTTCAGTCTCTGGATGATTGACTACCATGCGTTCTTTGGAGGCTTCGACAGTGGTTGTGTGCAGCCGGAGGCTTTGTGAACATGGAACGTGTAAGCGATCTCTCTCCCTCTCTCTCTCTCTCTCTCCTTTCTCTCTGTGTGTGTATTGTGTGTGTATTGTGTGTGCGTTTTTAGAGGGATGGCAAGTAGAGTTCAGGAACAGTGACATTACCTCCAGAGATTCGCTTTCTCGTCGGAACATAGTTCGTGGAAGCCTTGAAGGTGTTTATGGGGGTCCATGGGCTCTAGCCATAGGTTTGGTTTGGGTGCTTGTGAGGCCATCGTAAGGGGGGGGGGGTTCAACTCGTCTGGAATAAGAGTGTGAATCATCAATTGGAATAGATATCGGACAATCAAGACGTGGCAGTTGGAGAGGACCAGATCATTGGTTTCAACGGTGCCATTTTAAAGTATTGTGACTTATCCTTGATATTGGGGCGGCTTGGTTGAGAGATCGCCCGTTCCAGTGAGTCACTCTATCCTGGCTAATTCCATGATGGTGTAAGACTGAGCTCATCCGGGGACTTCCGCAGTAGCGCCTGGCTCCTGACCCCTGGCTCTGAATTTTTCAGAAATGTTCTGACTGAGGAGAATGTTGTAGTTCAGAGATGTATTTTCTCATTATGGGTGCTACTTGTCGCTACAATCGTTGCTTATTTGTACGGTTGCTGGGAAACGGGAAGTAAGATATTGCTGAATAGGTTCAATTGGGGCAGGTGCTTCAAGTGCCAGGAAATCATTGCGAAAGAAATTGAGCTTCTTCATAGGCGTGCGGACTTGGAAATCAGAGAGATGAATTTACAGGAACTTGTTCTGCTTAGAGCGTCTTCCCAGCTTGGGACAGTAAGATGGAAGAAAGCTTGAATACCTCAAGGCACCCTGATGAGTAAGGTAACTGAAGAGGCAGGAGTGAACGTCGCTGCTGCAGACCCCACATCGTGCGCCCCTCATTTTCGTCCGCCTACCCCAGGGGCATCTACAGAGCTTCTCCGATAAGATAAGACATTTTTCGAACCTCCAAACTTTCCAAGCTCTACCTTGAGAGAGTCACCTTGACGCGACGACGCAACAACCACATTCCCACGCCATTGCACACGCATCATGTCCAGCAATGTCGGCAGCAGGTCCTAACTCGAAACCTTTAAAGTCCGCCTTCGCCAACAAACGAAAACAGGGATCCTCAGGCGACAATGGCGGAGGGAACAACGGTGCCGGCGGCGGAGGAGGATGGGCGCAGAAGCGCGTCAAGATCCGCCAGGACCGCGAAATCGCAGCGCAGTCCTCGGACGCGGCCCTCCGCGACGGCGAGCTCGACCTCCAGTCCTTCCTGAACGCGCGCGAGTTTGAGATCCGGGCGCTCGAGGAGAGCATGCGACACACCAAAGCCGAGGCAACGAGCCGGGCCTTCCAGCAGGTGCCCCGAGGGCTGAGGCGGCGGACGGCGAGTCACAACGCGAAGAGGGTGCCCAAGAGGCTGCGCAGGCGGGCGCTGAAGGAGATGGCGGAGGATAATACCCCCGTGGTGCTCTCGAAGCGCAGGAAGCCCAAGACGACGAGGGCGCGAATCCGGGCGGAGACGGCAAAGAGGTTGGGGATACTGGCGGAGAAGAAGAGGAGGAGGGCGATGAAGGCGGAGAAGGCCAAGGCGAAAGACAAGGACGGTGAGGGGGTTGCGGGCAAGACGGGCGATGACAGACCGAGCAAAGGCGCAATTACAGTCACGACGAGGCCGCCACGGCCCAAGATCCGCCGGAACCAGCTCAACGACCCGCCGCAGCGCAAGTCCAAGTTCAGGAAACGACAGATCAATAAGACGTGGCTGCCGACGCACCTGTGGCACGCTAAGCGGGCGCGCATGACGGAGCCCGCGAACCCGCTCTGGCGGTTCGCGATACCTCTGACTCCCAACGAGAAGACGTATAGGGCGACGCACCGGTCCCACGGCGACAGGGGCGCCGTCGCCTGGGACACGAGCTACATGAGCACGATTGGGCTCTACGGGTCGGCCAAGGGCGTGGAGCAGGTCCTGCGCCGGCTTGGCGTAGCGCAGGAGAGTTGTTGGAACGAGAGGGGGAGGAAGTGGAGGGAGGGCACGCGGCACTGGAGCGGGTTCTTGAGCAGGGAGGTGAAGGGAGGAAGCAGCGGGGGAAGGCGGGAGGTTTGCCCGGCAACGATTCTCTGGAACCCCCTTGAGCCGGTTGCTGAGGATGGAGACGAGGCGCAGACGGTCAAGGTCCAGCGACAAGTCTATGTGAGGGTGCACCCCTCCGCGTTCCTCGAGGTGTTCAACGAGCTCCTTCGGCTCGTGAAGATGCAGAATCCCAGGATGTACATTGAGGATCTGCGCTTCGAGATTGGCAGCATTGAACTCACCGGCCCCGCTTCGACCGAGGCACTCCTGGGTATCCTGCACCCATACCACACGCAAGAAGGGTCCAGACAACAGCACGCAGACATTTTCAAGGGTCTGAACAGCCTCATGAGTCCCGCGTCCCTTCCTGTCAACGCCACGCTGGGTTTTTCCATCATGGACCCGCGCCTTCGGTACCCGCCAAGAAAAGTCGCGCAGCCCGACCCCGGCGACGAAGAGGAGCAGAACAAGTCCCTAGACTTACTCGCAAATTGGCCGGTGGACACCAACCTGAAGCCCCACGGCCTCTTCCACAGAGACGCGCGGGCTTCAGCCACGAGACTGCCGTCCCAAAAGTCCATCGACAGGCGCAAAGGGGCAAGACGTCCCGGTACGGACCTAAGCACCTCGGACGCAGATCCACCGATCCCCGTCATTCTGGTAGCATCACGAGCGGCCGGAGACAATAGCAACGGAAATAGCAGCTCCCAGGGGAACTGGACGGTCCTCGCGCCCTGGCGGTGCATCCAGCCTTTGTGGCACAGCCTCGTCCACTTCCCACTCAGCTCGGGCGGCAACCCGCGCTTTTCCGGGCTGGATCAGATCCGCCAGGTCGCGTTCGAGCGGGCTACGCCGTGTTTCCCGTTTGATTTCCTCGGCACCGACGCCGGCGCCGCGTGGGAGGTGGAGCAGCGGCGCCTGCGGAAGGCGAGCTGGGAGCGGCGGCCTAAGAGTAAGCGGGTCGCGTGGGCTTCGTTAGATCTGGGTGCCGGGCGGAAGGGGGAGGTTGGCTGTGGGTGGGCGTGCGATGTGGAGTTTTTGTTTCGGGAGGAGACGACGATCAGTGAGGAGAGAAGGCCTGCTGCGCTGGATGCGGATGGGATGGATGTTGACGAGCCTTCTCCAGCAAAGAATGAGGAAGCCGCCGCCGCCGCTGGGGACGCCGCGTCCGAGGGGCAGTTCCTCAAGACGCTCCAACATATCCGCAAGGACGCCTTCAAGGCAAAAACATCTTCGTCATCATCAGCAACACCATCCCCATTCCCGCCGAGATCCGTCATCAACGTAAAGATCTCAATTCTCAACCGCGGCGTCGCCACCGCTTGCGCGAGAATCTACCGCCTACCCCCGCGCCCCACGCCCACCGACCCGACCTCCTCCGCCGAAATCCCCGCCACAGTACCACCTCCCCCGGTGCCGACGACGACATCCGTCCAAGGCGGTGGCAGCAGCAGCGGTCTACCCCCCAACCTTCGCGCCCAATGGCTCGCCACCCTCCCCGTCTCCGGCGCGAGCGCGAAATACCCAACCAAGAAGAACGCAAAAGCAACACATCAACAACACCAGCAAACCAAGCATCTACCCCTCGAAACCCAAAAACAAATCCTCGCCCAGAAACTCCTCGCCTCGCCACCTGCCGAGGCACCATCACGCCTGCCCGCGAAACCGAACCAGACGGACATGAACGGGCACCACCCGCTGGTCCCCGACGAAAAAGATCTCCTGGGTTTCGTGACGACGGGGTCGTATTGTCTCGCTGAGGGGCGGGGCATGGCGATTGGGTGTTTATCTGCCGACAAGGCTGCTGAGGCGGTGAGGGATGGTGGTGGTAGGGAGGGGACTCTGTGTATTGTGCGAAATGCCGGGGAGAGCGTTGGGTGGATTGCGCGGTGGGAGGTTGTTTGAAAGCTGAGAGGGTGGTTTGTTTCTATACACACACATACACACACACGACAAAGTGCTGTGAGTGGGATGTGGGTTTTATTGTAGATGTGTGAGGCCTGGCTACTTCTGTCCGGGAAGACCAGGAAAGGAGACTTTGGTCACTATGAGGAGGCGTCAATATCAGGAAAACCAATCACTAGAGCATGAGATAGGCAGGCCGTCCTCGGGATGGGGGAAGCCCGATAAACGGGAATGACACGTTCCTCGAGAGCCAAACGATTACATTCCCACAACCACCCTCTGTCTCAAGTCTTAGTCTACCTTAGGACACGGCATCTGCTATTTGAAAACAATCATCCTGGCTGCGGGATCCCAAGTCAGACTGAAGCATGTTCGAGGCAGCCACCAGATCCCCCACCAAGTGGTTGACAAAATAAGATGCTGGTCAACACTAGATAGACTACGATGCCTACTTATCTACTCATTATTCCTGAGTTTCTTATTCTTTTCGTCTTTACCATTCAAGTTTCTACTATCTTAATTATTTCTATTATCTTTATTTACTCTATATTCATTAGAGAATACTCTAGAGAAGAACAATAGGAGTAAGAAGGAAAATAAGAATAAGAAGGATGATAGAATCAAGAAGGATGATAAAAGAGCTAGGTACTGGGATACCCATAGAGCGGCAAACGATCATGTCACCCACTTGCCCCCGTACCATCACCGCTTTCGATACAAATGAGAAATCAGACGTCTTTACACATTATCATCGTCATAACACACACACAGAGACAGAGAGAGAGATAGAGAGAGGCATGGTTTGAAGACTCGACTCTTTTGACGAGATTTATATTCTGTTCTTAGGTACTGTAACTGTGCTGCCTGGTTTGAAATACCCGCTCTGCCTAGGCTAGGCCCTCCCGTAATGACGGGGCAAAAGAAAGCCGCCTTGATATGTGAAGGGAACAAAAGGAAACCCAACAAAATGACAGTAACTCCTTTTTTGGTTCCTGTTAAAAAAAAAAACGCCGTCATGATATCACCTGCAGCTCTCGATGAGGGTGATTTTGCTTTCCAAACACGCGCGGTAAGGCCTCTCCTCTTCCCATTGACTTGCCCAGAAAAATGACTGTCCCTCAGCACACTGTCAAGGGTAAGGACCCTTGCAATCACGGTCCTTCTCATCAAAAGAAGCAAAAGGACCACCAGGATGGCGGCGACCTCAATCTTCCTCACTGACCTCACTCTCCTCGGCGTCGCCGCTATTCGCAGCCTCGAGCTCCTTCTCCAGCTCCGCCTCCAAATCGTCTTCCAACGCATCCTCAAAGTCGGGCTCCGAGTCAACGTCCATCTGCTCCACCTCACCCTCGGCATCCTCATCCTGGTCGTGATGTTGTTGCTGTTGCCGCTGCTGTCCGTTCATCGGGCTCGGCAGGTTAAAGTTTGCGAAATCGCGCTCTTCCAGGTCCGACTCGCCGTCGGCGTCGTCGGCCTCGGAGTCGCGCAAAAAGTCGGAGAAGCTGCGGACCTGGATGTTGGGCGCAAAGGCGGGCGAGAAGTCGGCCCTCTTGTTCTTCTGCTCGTCAGGGTACTCTATCGTCAGGCCAAAGTCGTCGTCATCGTCGTCGTCCTCCTCGTCGGAGCCCGCGGGGGCCTTGGCCTTCTTCTTGGGCGGCGATGCGGCCTTGGGCGCCGGTGGCGGCGCGTCGTTGGTCGGTAGGGCGAGGGTGATGTTCTTCGGCGGCGGCGGGGGACGGGCTTTCTTGTTGCTGCTGGCCGAGGGGCGCTTGGGACCGGTGGCTTTGGATACTGGCTTCGCGGGGGACTTATCCTTGTCCTTGGCTTCGGCGGTGGCGGGTTTGCGAACCTCAGGGGTGGCGGTTATGGATGTGTCGAGCTGCTCGAACTGCTGGCGCAAAGTCTCGGGGTTATCGTTCGTCGGGGTGCGGGTGACGTTCATGTGGAAGGTGGAATCGACCTTGTCGAGGATGAAGGCTTTCCTGTTGGGATCGAAGTAGAGGACGTATTGATTATCGTCCATAGTACGAGTACCGGCGTAGCCGTACATGCCATTGTTGCCGTCGGGAAAGGAGAGGTCGAAGCTGGACTTGCTGCCAGGAGTCTCGGGTTTTAATCTGGCTGTCGCTGGCTCTGAGGCGAGTTCTGGCTTATGATTGTCTACAGTGAGGGCGCGAAGACGAAGGCGTCAGTCTCGGCATCGGCATCGGCATCGTGGTTCAATGATGGAGTCTGGTGCGAAAGTTACATACATCGTACAGAGGTAAAGACCTCTTTCTGGGTGCGCCCGAGGAGAGTGTCGCTCAGGATGACGGGGTATTTTCCCGTCTTTGTCGGGTCGATAAGGCCATTCAGATTCTTGGGGAGGGCCTTTTCCCTGTGGTTTGGACGAAGAGCCGACATTGTGGCGCCTGTCGCAAAGAGGGAGTGATGAGAGCGATGTGAGGGAAGAGAAGTGGAGGGAGGGAAGACGGTACTGCGACTGCGTAGACCGATGATCGTTGAAGGCAAGTGGGGAGAGGGGACCTCGTAGCCTGTAGGGAGGAGACGGGATGATTAGAGGCGGGAACTGGGGCCGGTCCCTCTGCAGATTGCAGTGAGGTGTGCGTGCATTCGAAGCGCTGCTTCCTTCCGTTGCCGCAACGGTTCCGCTAATTACGAGTCGCCTGCAACTTTAGGGTTGTTCCGCGGAGGGTGTGCTGATGATCCAGCTCTTCAGGCGGAAAGGCCGGGACCGCAGGTGGGTTGCACTGCTAAAAATGCACGTTGACAAGGGTGGTGGATGCAGGGCAGAAGTCTAGGGAATGATTGACGACAATGGAAGTATGAATTGGCGACAAGACTATGATGGAAAGGCTGATGGGATTTGAGGTGGTAATCCGGTTTGCCGAAAGAGAAAGATTGCTCTCTACCTATCGTCAATATTTGTGTAAGACTTGTGAAGCAGACAGCAAGGCGGAAGGCGCTGCCTATTCGCTTCGCCTACTTGCCTTAGGTACCTAAGATAAGGTTGTCTGAGGCGAGGCGAGGCGCGTTACCTAAGGGTTGGGTGCAAATTGCAACTGAGGATCTGGCCGTTTCATTCAATTGCCTTCGTACAATTCCCAGATGCTCTCAGGTCGCCGTTGGTGACCATACTGGAGTGTGAGGTGAGATATGCCTGGGGCTGACGCTTGGACGCCTGAATCAGTGGCGGCGACAGGTAACGCCGGGTGAGGTCTTACAACAGGAAGATTATTGTTCAAGAACGACTTCCATTGAGATCAGGCTGCCGTCAACATTGCGGACTCTATTCAGCACTCGATAGGGCAGGAAGCTTAATATGTGGCTGCATTGCTGATTTGTAGGTTCCTAAGACTAGTCTTCAGGTGGACAAATCTCTGGGGTCGTCACGAAAGGCAATTTCTAGTCGGGCGGGCAAATGTAATTTGGCTTACTCATCTGCCTGGCGAACGAGAGTGCTCGGACGTCAACCAAGGCCTATATCCAAGAGTGTATTATGGTAGGTAGTATGTAAATGAGGCTATCGTGAACTGTCAAGTCGGAAGAAGGAAACTGTCTTATTCAATGGTAAATCTTGATTTCGAACACCAATCTCTAGAACCAATGCTGATCAATATGTCTTGGCGTCATGTTCCAATTCTAAAAGGAGACAATCTCATTATTTTCGTCAAGGCTAGTACAAAGCATCGTTGTTCTTATTGCGCATCTATCCATGAAATACACTTCTTCATCATCGCATCATCTCCGGCCAGGTACCTTATGCAAGTCACCCAGGACGTCTCACTGTACACATACAGTGAAGCTACCAGTAATAACCTGGAAGGTAATGAGGGACTGAGGTGGGATGGCTACAAAAAGGCACCTTACGAAGTACCTTGAGGTGGGCAGAGCATGTAAAGAGCGATTTCTCGACTTTCCCCGTTATCCGCGGGAGCCCCAGATTTTGCGATAAGATTGAGTTCGTCCTTATCTGGAACCCGCCACTAGCCGAGGAGACATCCGGGTTTTGCACGGCTCGGTCGACATGCCCCTCCGCGTGCACTTTATTGGGGCATTGGCGTCCCTCTGCCATCTCACTTGGCATCACTGAGACTGTCGCGGTTGCTTAGAATGCCGTGCAACTCTTGAAGGCATTGGGTTGGCCAATTGATTGAAGATGAATTAATCATTCATGATCATGTTGTGCTGATTCCAGGCCAACTCGTAGAACAGCGGCGGGGAAATCACAGGTGCTGGCCGGGGTTCTCCATATTCCTCTCCCAAAGGCCCCAACCTCGTCCAGGTTCATGTCAAAGCTCCCCCATTCCCCCGCCCGCTGCCCCAGGCTAGAGAGGAGCAATTCAGGCCCTGTGGGCTGTGGCTCTCGAATGCCATCATGGCCCGCCAGGGGTAAGCGCAGACAACCTCGGATCAAACAGCCACACAAGCTTCGGCAACGAGCGGCACCCTACCTACCTGACCCTGCCTCCCTTCCACTTGAGCGAGACAAAGCTCCAGTTGCTACCGCGTAGAAAACGTTGCTCTGCCATTCTTCTCTCCCTTTTTCCCAAACTCTTCTTCCTCCTGATTCGAGTGACCAAGCAGAAGAGAAAGAGGCATTGAGTCTGTGACGATACCCAAATATCATTGATACCCCCCAATAGGCCATCCACTTCTCACCACTCTTCTCCCAATCAATTGACCTGCATACATAACACCTCCTCGCGGTCATGTCTGCGGCGGTCAACCGAGGTCTCAGGACAGCTTCCCGATCATTGCGTCTCCAATCGCGAAGCGTCCGCCTGGCCACTCCTCTCCGCGCCGGTCTCGCCTCCACTAACTTTGCCGCCCGCTCCACACCTCAACAATCTCACAACTTCACCACCTCATCTGCGAGACAGAGCGCCGCACCAGCCATGGCCGAAGCGAGAGAGTACGATCCTGAAATCAAGGACATTGCCAACTACGTCCAAAGCTACAACGTCGATTCCGAGCTTGCTGTAAGTCTTTTTTTCCTGCCTTTTTAAGTACCATAATCCCCTTCTTCACTGCCTTCAGTTTGCGCGACCCGCTCAAGTTTTACCCCGCGTCACAGTCAGATCGCCGCCGCTAACCGCCGCTTTCGTGAGAATAGTTCGACACGGCACGATGGGTTTTCCTGGACACTCTCGGCTGTGGTCTTGAGGGCCTCCGCTTCAAGGAGTGCAGCAAGCTCCTGGGCCCCATTGTTCCCGGCACTGTTGTTCCCAATGGCCCCAAGGTCCCTGGTACCGACTTTCAGCTCGACCCCGTCAATGCCGCCTTCAACATCGGTGCCATGATCCGTTGGCTCGACTACAACGACTGCTGGCTCGCTGCCGAATGGGGACACCCTTCCGACAACCTGGGTGCCATCCTGGCCGTGGCCGACTGGATCACTCGTACCAACAAGGCCGGCGGTAACATTGCTGGCGGCAAGCAGTTCACCATCCGCGATGTTCTCGAGGGTATGATCAAGGCCCATGAGATTCAGGGCTGCCTGGCTCTCTTGAACTCGTACAACAAGGTCGGCCTGGACCACGTTGTCCTCGTCAAGGTCGCCAGCACTGCCGTCGTCTCCAAGATGCTCGGCCTCAACGAGAAGCAGATTGCCGACGCCGTCACCCAGGCCTGGGTCGACGGCCAGAGCTTGCGCACTTACCGTCACTCCCCCAACACCATGTCCCGCAAGTCGTGGGCTGCCGGTGACGCCTGCCAGCGCGCCGTCAACCTTGCCCTCAAGGTCATGAAGGGCGAGCAGGGCATCCCTACCGTTCTGTCTGCCCCCGTCTGGGGTTTCTACGATGTTCTGTTCAAGGGCAAGAAGTTCGAGTTCCAGCGCCCATACGGCAGCTACGTCATGGAGAACGTTCTCTTCAAGGTCTCCTACCCTGGTAAGTAATTCACGGTGATACTCACACTTCTGAGCATGTCAATTGACGAGACACAGCCGAGTTCCACTCCCAGACTGCCGTCGAGGCCTCTTCCAAGATTCACCAGCAGCTCAAGGCGATGGGCAAGTCGGCGGCCGACATCAAGGGCGTCACCTGCCGCACGCACGAGGCCTGCATCCGCATCATCGACAAGCAGTTCAAGCCCATGGACAACTTTGCCGACCGTGACCACTGCATCCAGTACATGGCCGCCACCATGCTCGTCTTTGGCCGCCTCGAGGCCACCGACTACGTCGACGGCAGCGAGGCCGCGACCTCCCCTCTCGTCGAGTCCCTGCGCCAGAAGTTCAAGTGCGTTGAGGACCCGCAGTTCACCAAGGACTACCACGACCCCGCCCTCCGAACCATCTCCAACGCCCTGACTGTCGAGTTGAACGACGGCACCGTGCTCGAGGAGGTTGTCGTCGAGGCACCTCTCGGTCACCGCCTGAGAAGAGAGGAGGCCAAGCCCGAGATCCTCAAGAAGTACAAGAGGCACTTGGAGCCCCACTTCGATGCCGGCAGGGTCAAGCAGCTTGTCGACCTTGGCCTGGACCCCAAGAAGTTGGAGGCCACTCCTGTGGATGAGTATGTCGATCTGTATGTTGCCAAGGACAGCAAGTTCATCTAGGCGGTGGCGCATAAATGATTTCTAGGAAAAGATCTAGGAAAAAAGATTGGATACTATAGATGTTATGTTTCTACAGGATTTAGATATGGAAACCTGACAAATAGTATTTTGGCGCTCAAGGCAAGGTCCATCTTTAGTGTGAGGGGTTGTGTTCCTCGTGTCGGCACACCGTGTACGACGAGTCGTCGGTCAGTGCATCTGGACGGCAATTTCTAAAGAGGATGAGACTATCCGTCTGGACATGAAAGTCGTAGGCAATACGAGTATTGTTGGACACCCGACTGGCTACGCGCTAATGGCTTGTCGCTGACGAATCCGCCCCTGCAAGAAGCTCCTACGGCTCCCTCCCGACTCGGACAAGTGCTGCCCAGGCACGGCCAGGTTTGGCGGGCACAGCCTCCCCGAAACCTCTTTAGGGGATGATTGGCTTCATCGTAACCCAAGCACCCAAAGTCTGTACGGAAGTATAGGCAGTACCTTAGATGACTGATGATCGCCAAGCCCCGTTCCCTGAGCTGAAGTCTGGGCGACGTTCACCTGGTGGGTTATTTTCAGTGGATGTTTCTCCTGGAACGGTGGAAACGGAGACGACCAGGACTCCAGGAGACCAAGAGAAACGGCTAGCTCGGGTCGCGGCATTGTTTTGCGTTTCACAGGCCAGACACTTTTCGTTTTCCAGAGTGTCATTTGGAACCACAGGGACCACCAAAAAGGTGAGGGACTCCAAGTCTCGAAATGCATGGCGTGTTACCTAAGCCGCACTGCCACTCACCTTGGGTACCTACCGTGCTACAGCCTGCCTACGGATACTTGTACGGTGTACGGTCTGTACCTCCCACTTGGTCCTCCACCAAGAGCGCCACTTTAGTCCGTATTGATCTCCTGTTCGGACCTTTACTTCACTCCGACCGCATCTGTTTGTTCTGGAAACAACTTCGCCTCCTTCGATTTTTCCAACGTCTGAATCTGATACCCTCTTGCTTTTCGACTCACGAGAAACCTTTTGCTTTGCTCACCTTAATACCCACCGATAACAACAACAACAACACTCGACTTTCCGCTGCACACCTCTTGAGCAACACTTTGATAGCCGATCTAGATTCAAGTGGGGGCCAGTCTCACAACAGGCACCATGGACAGACAAACCATCATCGAGACCAATCGGTCGCTGCGCACCATCAAGAACGTAGGTCAACCTCCGACATCCTTCCAAGGCTTTCGAGAGCGGCGCGGAAGACGTCAGTCAACTCTGGCCGCTTCTCACCCCGAATCTCTCGATTTCCCGCCCGATCCGCAATCACACGGAACCGCAGAAACACCATATTCTAACGTACCTTGACCTTCAGGAACTCGAGAACCTCCTCGAAAAGGGCGTCATCTCCGAAGATGCCTACGACAGCATGCACGCCACCCTCCCCGCCGAAACCCCCCTCCACGGCGCTGCGTCCCGCGCCGCGCCCGCCGCCGCCGCGACCCCCGTCCAGCACAACAACCCAACCTCCCCGCCGGCCCCGACCGCCGCCATGGCCGCCCTGAACGTTAACCCCTCCGCCTCCCCGGCGCCCCCCTCCTACAACCAGACCGGTCCCCCCTCCCTCCCGGCCCGCACAAACGAGAAGCCCGTCCTGGCGCACGCCCGCGCGCTGTACCGCTACGCCGGCGCCGACGCCCGCGACGTGGCCTTTGAAAGGGACGACCGCATCGCCATCCACGAGTACATGAACGCCGACTGGTGGATGGGCCGGAACCTCCGCACCGGCCAGGAGGGCATCTTCCCCAAGACGTACGTCCTCGTCGAGCAGGACATGGCCAAGGGCGCCTTCGCTCCCGTCCCGGCTCCCGCGCAGCCTCAGTATGCGGCCCAGCAGCCGCAGTGGGCGCCCCAGCCGCAGTACGCCCAGCCTCAGGGCCCGCCGCCTCAGCAGAACCCGTATAACGCCGACGCGCCGCCTCAGGCTGTTGCGGACCAGAGCACAGGGGGTAAGGAGGGTGGCGGAAAGGGGGCTGAGATGGGCAAGAAGTTTGGAAAGAAGCTTGGTAACGCTGCTATCTTTGGTGCTGGTGCCACTATCGGTTCCAACATTGTCAACAGCATCTTCTAAGTGTGTTGTTGATGGGGAGGTGCTGAAAAATATGTCGATGGTTTGCTACGTGACATCTGGACGGAAAGGGTTCTTTCTGCTCGAGGATGAACATTGCTGGAAGGAAGTGAAGGGCTAGATTGCCTCTCTTCATATATCGTTATTTACTGGGGGATTCGGTGTATATCTCAAATTCCCCTTCGGGAAGGCCCCAGCCCGGTTGTGCCCCGTCAATCATGGGGAACCTCGGCTGAAGTTGCTTTGAATTGGGTTCGCTGCATGGAGATGATTTGGCACATATGGACACGCTCATTCTGTTTTTTTTCTCTCCCTCTCCCGCTAATTGGTCATGGGTTTAGGCGTTACATCTGAATTTTACAAGGCCATTCCGTATATTGGAATCAAATGATATACTTTTTTTAACTTATAAGTCTTCAGTGACGTGATTCCAAGGAGGTTTCCACGTGTTTGTGTCTCTGTGCTTGTCTATAGTTATGTCGTCACTTGTTGGGCTCAATCTTTGAGTGAGCTATGAGAAGTAACGTGAAAACCTGGAAGGTCAGCCTACTCGTTCAGGTAAAGTAGTCTGTCGAAAGGGTCTCCCGAAGACGAGGACATGATTGGGGGAATATGTATCTTTCGTGGGCAAATCTATTCGGAAACGGCTTACTCGGGGGGGCAAAATGACTCCAGGTTGCTACCGGAGAATTTCGTATTCTGCCCCCTTCTTCCTAGGTGTCCTGTCTAGTGTGTACTGTACCCAAAACACGCGCTTATAAGACTTGAAACTCCAATCAGCGCACGAGCTTCGGGGCAAAGAAGGAGAGAAGGAGAGAACAAGAGAGACGGAGGAGAAGGGGGTGGATGGATGACTTCGCGGCTCGGTGACCCCGGACATCCGAGGTGGTCCCTGGCCCGTGGGCCAACCCTTTCTGAATTGCTCGTTACCGGTCTGACGGGTGTTTTGCTGTTAGGTTTTGATGGAGGCAAGGGGACGCTGGGTTTGGAGGGGTTCAGAGGTGAAGGTGTGTGGGTTAGGGGTAGGGGGGAGGGGGATGGGAGCGGAGGGTGGTCATGGCTCGACGATGGCTTCGTTTTGCTTCTGCTTTTGGGTAGTTCGAAGAGAGAGTGAGAGTGTAAGAGAGATCCACAGAGGAAGACGGAGACATGTCTCGTTGATCAGGTCCGGGTGCATCTTCGAATCGGTTCAATAACACCTCTCTATTATTCCTCACGTTCTACGTGTTCTTCTTTGAATCCGGGGAAGTGACAGACACCCTGGGGTTCGATGGTATACTAGGTGGCCGTAACCTTGTAAGATGACGAAAGAACGGCAACTTTCAACGGTTTGTTTTCTCATCTCATTGCTACAAGCTGTCAAAGTGGAGGGAGAGAAGATTGAGGCTCGGCGTACTGAGGCTCGGCGTATTGAGGCTCGGCGTATTGAGGCTTTGGGGGCTGCCAAGCTGAGTATACCAAGTTGTACGCTACTGCTGCTGATACCCAGTATCCTGCTTTCGAATTCGCTTGGTATAGACCCTGATGTCATCACACCCGTCTCCTAGAGAATAGTCTTGCTAGGGATCATGGCTCATGGGGGTGACTCTTGGAGCAAAAGCTAAGATGTGAAGAAAGAGTTCTTGATTGCCTCTGACGATCTATCGTAACCCACTCATCCCACCCGTACACACACATATACGCTCTCGCCTACCTTACGACGATCAAGAGAGGCGCACGCCGTGCACAAACCAGCTACCGCCCTGCCCATCCATCTCTCATACTAATACGCCGGTGTGAAAGTGCGAGGCAACCTCTCTCATTCCTTCCTATCCTCCATCCTTCTCCCAGTTCCAGTCCCACCCCCACCGCCAAACTCATCCAATCCCCATAGTCCCCCCGGATGAGATCTCTCCGACCTCACCCTACCCCCCTCTCACACATAACTCTTCACCAAAACCCAGACTTCAAAGATCACCCATCCCAGGACTTCCTACATGGATAGCCCCCCCATCTGTTCCACCCACACTCTTTAAAAAACGCCAACGGGATGAAAGGATGTAAGGTTTGATCGAATCGCGCTGCTCCGTCCATCCCTCCTACTCTCTTTCGCCATTCATCCCTAACCGGGTTATTCTTAGACTTTTTCTCTTGTCCCTTGGGTCAATGTCGGTACCGAGGCCATGGACGAACATGTGCTCAGTTCGGGGAACGAAAAAAAAAAAAGGAGATCGGGGAAACAGAGAGAGGGAAAAGAGACGGGGGAAAACGTGGGCGAATCCGGTTCGGGCGTGAACTCTCACCCTTCACCCCCCATGTTTGGTTATGCTCCCCAGACTGGAGTAATTCTTCTCATGCACGGGGAGGAGGTCCGATGAGGGTTGGAAATCTGGGGGTTGTTATGCATGATGGGTTTGAATCTGGGGATGCAGGGTGCAGTTCTGATTGTGAATTCCCCATGAATAATAAGTCGATGTTTAATGGGCAAGATACTCTTCAACTGTCACTTTTGTCTTTTCATTACATATTTGAGCAACGATTACATCTCCGTGGGAATCACTGAATTTTTAGCGTCTACCGTGATGTGATAGCCCAGCTCATGGGTATGTTCTCATATCTCATCCTCTGAAGATGATAGCAGTACATAGTATCGGCGTTCTCCTTACGGCCACACTCGCAAACACATCACGCAGAGTATCAGAATTCAGGACAAAAAGAGGGTTGATATTCAATCCACTATCCAATCTCCCCCATCCTCCGTCGTGCAAGAAGGAACATATGCCTACAATACCTTAGAGAACATACCCTCCTCCCTTTCCAACGAAGTACCATGGAGTAAAATGAGCAAGCCACCATCTCTCCCTCGGGAATATCTCCCAACAACATTCAAGTGTCTAGAAACTTTCCTTGTCCAGCCTCGCCCGCTGCCACATTGCAGCTACGAGCCGTTCGGGGGGTCAAGGGAGCCAAATGGTGAAAAGAGGGGACAGTAGAGCGAAAACGCCAACAAAAACACTACCAGTCTAGCAGGCTCCGAAAACACGTTCCCGCCCAACCCACCACCCCCCTTTCTTCTTCTCCGAGAGTGGAAAATGAACAAACAGACCCAAATCGGGTTCTGAGTCTGCTAGCACTGGTGGAAAAAACTCCGCCCACGACGCTTCGGCCGCTCGTGTTGCGAGCGCCATTTCCACTCTGTGACAACTTTCCATAGTGTGGCGCTCGCAAGTTCTTCTCTGCTCCGCTTCGTCCTCTACAGCAAACGCTGAAATGCTCCTCTGTCTCTCCGTGTTGAACATTATGTCGTTTTCTTCTTTGCAATCTGTCGTACGCTTGCGTCTGTCACGCAGGGGCTACTACATGCACTTCGAAAAGATGTAGCCCCCTCAAGAAATGGCGTGGTGCCTTTACATAGGTCGAGCAATACCAATGGGGGTACCCATCTTCTCGTCCTGCCACTGCGGCCGCTCGTTGTTCCAGTACTGGTCGTCGTCCTCGAGCGTCTTGGCCGGGGCGACCTGGGGCTCGAGGCGGCCGGCGGTCCAGGCACGCATCGGCTTGCCGTACTTGTACATGACGGGCAACAGCATTGAAACACCCGCGAGCGCCGCGCTGTAAATGCCAAAGTTCTTCAAGAAGCCGAGCTGCTCGATCCAGGTGGTGACGTTGAATGACATGATGAAACCGATGATAAGACGGGACGAAGAGACGTTGACCAGGACGGGTCTGACCACACGCGTTAGCTGCGAGGCCTGAGTTGGTTGAAGGACAAAACTTACCCTGCGAAACGGGGATAACTCTCAACCAAGTAAACGGCAAAAATGGTGTTGGCAGTCAACAAGCCGAAGCCGATCAAGAAAATGGAGACAAGCACAACGATCGAAGGCAGTGTTCGAATGTTCTCACCGGCGTAACCGAACAAGATCGGGCCGACGATGGAAGCGAGAAGAGGGAAAATCAAGCTGAGAAGATGAGCCTCGGGCTCACGGCGACCTCCATTGCGCTTCGCGACATAATTGGAAATCTTGTCGGCCACGTAACCGCCAAAGAACCAGACGAACGGACTGGCGATGACAATGGGGATGACGGCGAAACCAAGCGTCTCGAACTTCCAGCCGGCAGCAATCAGGAGCGACGAACCGACCTGACCGGCGGCACCCTGCATGGAAACAAGAATGGAGTTGATGATGATGACCCAGATGATGTTGGGGAACAGAGTCGTCTTGAACATGTCAATGACGGACTGCTTGGCCTCCTTCCACTCGTAGCCGTAGTTGAAGATGCCGAACTCATCCCAGTTGGAGCGAGGGCGGAAGGTCGATTCGTCGATGCGAGGACGGGTTTCACCAGGGCGCAGGGGGTAAACCTCCTTACCAGCTGTTCCATTGCGTTAGCCATATACACATCAATGCTCGTATGATGATACTCACCAAGCTCATCGTCGCTGCGAATCCAGCGGGTTTCGGGCACGAGCAGGATGAGACCAATCCAGGCAATCACACCAACACCGGAAGTGATCCAGTAGATGAAGCGCCAAGAGAGGCGGGAAACAATAATGGGACTGTTTCAAAAGGTCAGTCACTGTAGAAAGCCGCTAGTGTATTCGATAAGTGTTTCAAAATCTCACCTCATGATACCCAAGCTCACAATCAGGAGACCTTGAGAAGCACCGACGGAAGAGATGGCCTTGTTGCGCTGGTGGATGAACATCATGTCCTGGATGATGAGGGGAATCAAAGCCTCAACGGCACCTGCACCGAATCCCTGGAAGCAACGAGCAGCCAAATGGCTTCCGAGGCCCTGAGAGAAGCCGGCCCAGAGACCTCCAGTCCATGCCAGGAAGCCAGAGAGCAGAAGCACGGGGCGACGGCCGACGGCAACCGAGAGCGGGACAAGAAGATAGGAACTGAGTCCGTTGACGAGCAAGGGCACGGAGGCCAGCAAGGCGACCTGGTACAGCGGTGGTCCGCCGAGCCCAGCAAGAAGCTTGACGGGATCGAGGTTGACTTCGCCGGGCTTGTTTAGGGCCGAGATATCAATCTGGCTGAGGATGTGGGGGTCGATGCCAGAGTACTCCAGCACAAACACTGGTACCAGGGCACCGACAATGAACTCAGCCGCGAGGGCAAGAGAGCCGACTGCGAGCTGATCAGTATCCAAACAGATGCGGTCTATCAACATATCACTTACAGAAGCAGAGCGCGCCAATAGACGTCCATTTCCTCCAGTTCGGCAAGTTCAAAGGATCTGTCAAGCCGTGTCAGCAACCATTTTACGCCATCAAGTCGATTTCTCCTCCGCAAATAGCCATCAGAGTCGCAAACTAACCCTTGGGATCCGGTGTGGGCATGGGCACAAATCGAATAACTCCTCCCTCGAACAACTGCGTCGATCCCACCACCAGGGCATTGGGGGTCTCGACCCTCTGCACCGTGGCGAGGTTATCCGTAGATTCGGTCCAGCCGCTCTTTGACGCCATCTTGAAAGTCCTGTCCAAGGAACTTATCTAGATGTCGGATATTGTCGTCGTCGTAGTCGCCGTTCTTGTACAATGTATCGTGATGTATATCGGCCGATTTCAATCTCTAAAATCTTTGTTGATCACGGAGTCGCTTTCGTATTCCTCCCCGCGGAATTTGGTCGTCTGGCCAGAAGAGGAAACAAGAACTTCAAGAAGGATGGACGGCGGCGAGGGTTTGGAAATATACTGCTGCATGTCGCCGTGCGGTGACAGGTTGGCACGAGGGGCGAGCGCTCTGTCATGGGCCGGCCGCGGTTAGACGAGCAGTCTAATCTGAGACGAAGGCCGATGTGTGCAACTGCGCAACTGTTTGAGCGCACGGAGCAATGTACGGGGGGGTAAGAAGGGATAGACTCGAAGCATTTCCAAATTGGTCAACTCATGCGGATGTTTGGGGGGTGATTTGATTTGGGTGGGATGGGCGGCATCGGATCGGCCTAATCCTGGCCTCGCATCTGTTGGTGAAGAGCCTATTCGGGCAATACGTCAACCTGGGTCTTAGCTAGCAAGACTCAACAACTCTATAGCCCTCCACTGGCCCACACAAACAAGACAACCTAATGGAGCCTTTAGTCGATCTGCCCCGCGCTGAGCCAAAACGAACAAGCTTCATGAAATGGTCGTGTTTGGTTCGCCTCTACTGCCGAAAAAGACAGTAACGGACAAAGTCTCTTTCGGAACGGAGCAACGAGAAAGTGAGATGATGATGCCAACCAACATGAACTTTGGAAAGCACGACAACTAGAAGAGCCAGAGAGAGGGGAGAGAAAGAGAGAGAGAAAGAGAAAGAACTGCCATGCCATCCCTTAGCAAAGCTCTCGTCAACTCATCACTGGAAGAGGTCGGGCCTTGCGAGCAACGTCGAGATGGGATGGTTGCAAAGTGACGGCACCGTCTACCATTTGGTCACTCCTGAACAGCCACAATCCCACTGTTGTAAAACTCTCAGATACGGCGAAGAGTTTTGAGTTGTTGCGATGGAGGGGTGCGTTGGCCTCGAATTGGTTCGAGCTGAAACACCATCACAATAGTCTATGCAAGGTCAACCCTTGTCTCTCCGCCTTGAGCCTCAAAGCAGCCCACCCCGGTAGTGGCCGGCAACTTACAGTAGACCAACGGCATCGCAGCGCTCGGAGAATTCGAAAAGAAAAAATACAACACCTAGAGGTTAATTTCGACGAGCCGGAGTTCAACTTACGTACGATCCCACAATTTACCCCATACTTTGCCATGGACCCGTCAACGACGATCCGTGGCAAACACGCCGACTATGTCGTGGCCTCGACATCCGATTTTGATGAGAGTCATACCCTCTGATGCGACGCTAAGTTTCCTACGCATCCATCAATCTTCCAAACATGCTTCGACACGGATGAATATTCACTGAAGGTGAAGCGTGGACCGCCATGTTCCACCGCCACTCTCGGCCCGCTTTCACAAGCTGCCGTTTATGGGATGAGCCTCGGGCCAATCTTTTGAATCCCAAAGACCTAGTTACCTGTTTGTCTTGTTCGGATTTTCATTCAAGAGTCGTTGGGAGTGCTGTCAGCAAGTCATACAACACCAGACGTCCGCCGGCAATGAAAGAATGTGAAATAAATCGTCCATTCGTGTCCGGTTCCCCCTTCATCGCGTTCGCTAACCGGCACTACCTGATCCGCCCGTCTGTGTCATGAAATGCTGCCATCCGTCCACCCGTCATCGCAAAATAGGGTGTTGAAAGAAATTCAAGCCCTTTCCCACCTGGTGATTCAAGGAAACATTCGCAACCAATGCTGCTAGTGCAGGTGCTAAACCAATGAGTGGTATCCATGCCCGATATGTACCAAACCCTCCAAACTCCTTGTAAACATCAAAATCCTAGGTATCTGTGCGCGACGTACGAAGCCAAAGAAAATTCGGTTGCAGGCGATGCTACCAATCGAAAGCAAGCGTTGATGCGAGGCGGCGGCGAGACTAAATTAGTCCCTGTTTGGGAGAGACTCGGGAAGTGATGATGCTAGGATCTCGTCCT